CCTCCTGCCTTGGCCTCCCAGAGTGCTGGGGTTACAGGTGTGAGCCACCATGCCCAGCTTTCTCTTGCTTTTAATAATAATGGTGGACAAGTGTTATTCCCTTAGTAGAGGCCAGGCATTGTGCTACCCTATGCTAAGCAGTTAACTTGTATTCTCTTATTTAACCCTAACAACCTCCAGGAAGGAGGGATACTTTTTCCTCCATTTTTGAAGTTAGAGACTTATGGCTCAGAGACATAGGTGCTCAGCCTGAAGTCTTAAGGTGGGCGTGGTGGAGGCAGGACTAAAGTTCAAGTCTCCAAGCCACAGGACCCTAGGCCACTGAGGAAGGGAGGAAGGGTTGGTTATTCCTCTAGGTGCTGGTTGCTCAAACCTGGATGCTGAGTTGTGACCACTAGGTGGCGATAGAGGCTCACAGTAACAGTTTCTGAGATTTCGGGTAGGCAGCAGGCGGGGCCCTCACTGCAGCAACCCCCGACTCCTGTAGCACAGCCTCCACTCTCTCTTGGCCATGCCCTTCATGTTCCAGAGCCAGCACGGTGGGAGAGCTGGTTTGGGTGGAAACCTGACCCGGATTTAAATCCTAGCTCTGCCACTTTCTGGGCTTCTAACATGAGGCTTCTTATCTCTAAAATATGAGTAAGGATTGAATGAGTCAAAGACCTTGGCAGTGGATAGGATTGCAGAAATCAAGACTCAGAGAGCATGCACTGCATTGCATTCAAAGAGAGCTCCCATGCTGTGTTTTAAAATGGCTAACATTCAAAAACTTAGATATCTCACATAGCAACGCTGATGGTCCTGCTTCTTTTGATAATCTGCATTCCCACATGGCAGTGTCTGCTGGAGCTGAGGTCAGCTGCTCCTTTGGATGGGGCTCCACCCTCTAGGCTACTGCAGCATCCACCACTCCCTATGGGGACCCCAGCCCATTTTCCCCATGTCTGTTACCTATGTGGCCATTTGGTCTTGCTGGCAGGTGAGTGTGGCCTTCTCTCAAGTCTCAGTGCCAAGGAATAGTGAAGTCTGACCCCATTCTGGGGCAAGGAGGGGCTCAGGTGGGCTTTTCTGTGTATTTGCCCTGGGGCCTAGAATAGAATGTTGAGGTGCCCTCGTCACCTGCACTCATCATCGTGGTATTGCCTTGTCATAATCTGTGATTTCAGCTGTGCAAATGAACAACATCAGGCGCAGACAGAATGGAGACCATGGAATCTAGAGTCCCTGTTGGGAACCCAGGCTGTCATCCTCACTCTGAGGCTGGTCACTGGGCCTTAGTGGGCCAAAAGCTGGTGGCTGCCAACTCCCCTGATTAGAAAAGCTTTGGTTGGGCTCTCTGGCCAAGCTCTGAGGCCAAGGTGGCCTTCCTGGATGGCTGGAGCTTGTTGCACTGATGCTGAGGAGATCATCTCATTTTTTGTGGCTGGACTGGCTTCCGGGCTCCCTCAGCTGCTGGCCAGCTCAGCCTGTGCCCACCATTAACCCCAGCCCTCCCACATGGTTTCCATGCTGGCTGATGGGGCCTCCTCGTCCCCAGGGCTTCCTCGCTGCTCAGCCTAAGAAAATGCTTCTGAGGCACAGGTCATGTCTCAGCTCAAACACTACCTCCTCCTCCAAGGTCCTCCAAGCAAAAATATTTGCTCCTGCTAAGGACAGTGGCTCATGCCTGCAATCCCAGCACTTTGGGAGGCCAAGGTAGACAAATTGCTTCAGCCCAGGAGCTCAAGACCAGCCTAAGCAACATGATGAAACTCTGTCTCTCCCACAAAAAAACAAAAACAAAAATTAGTTAGATGTTGTGGTGCACACCTGCAGTCCCAGCTCCTCAAGAGGCTGAGGTAGGAGAATCACTTGAGGCTGGGAGGTGGAGATTGCAGGGAACTGTGATCATGCCACTGCACTCCAACCTGGGTGACACGTTGAGACACTGACTCAAAAATAGAAAAAAACCCAAAACAAAACCCCAAAAGAAAAAATAACTTTGCTTCATCATTGGTGTGCCTGTAGCATGACACCAGTGCCTCCAGGGAGAATGACTGGATTCTGCTGTGGAGCCACTGCTCATTGATGTGTGTGTCTTCTTCCCTGGACTATGTTTGTTTAGCTCTCTGGCCTCTGTGCCTAGCCCAGGGTCTGGCCCAAACACGGGGCCTGATGGATGTGGAGTGAGTGTACCACTGGGAACAGGAACAGGGCTGCCTCAGGGAAAGCTGTTTGGAAGCAAAACCATTTTAATGTGGAATTGCTAGAGCCTTGGGCCCCTGAGGACTGTGAATGGGAAGAAGGGTACTAAAGATCTGTTACTGGCTCAGCATGAAGATCTAGGCTGGGAATGCCTGGACATCCTTAACTTTGTCTCCCCATGGCTAAGACAGAGCCTGGTGTCTCTCCAGGGCCACCTACCTGCTCAGCCTCAAGGCTCCCTGACAACAGCTTCCGGACAGCGATTCTCTGGCCTTCCATTTCTGAACTCAGCACAGTGCTGCAACATTCCTACCACCCACACCAGCCCTTTACCAAATCACTAGCCCTGACAGCTAACGTCAGCAGAGGGCAAAGGCTGGGCTCTGCCTGGGAAAGCCCCCAGCTCAGGGCAGGGTTCAGCTGCTTCTGGAAGCCTGGCTTTCACCTTCTGTCCTTGACATGTTTGTGTAAAGGCTTAATTTGCCAAGCACTTCCTCCAAAGTTACTTCAATCCTCTGACTGTCCTAGGAGGTAGATCCTGCTATTGCTCACATTACGTGGTGGTGGTGGTGGGTGGAACTGAAGAGGCTGAATCACTTGTTCACATCTGGATTTATGTGACAGCAAATACTTCACAGGCTGCCCTGGCCCTGCCTCCTTGGCTCTGTGTCTTCTCCACTTGGCCCAGGACCCATGGCTCCAGAGACACAGAGGCTAGGCAGCCTAGGCTCTAGGAAGACCATGGGGGTGAGCTCTTTCTTCTGGTGTCTGCTGTGCCCGACTGTCCTAACCTGGCTGGTCTTTACCCACCCTCCACTAGGAGCCTCCTGCTCTGGTCAATGCCCTTTTCCTTGCCCCTTGTCTGTCTTTGCCATTCTCCCAGCATGGCTTGCCCACCTGTTCTCTCTGCTCTCACAAGTTCTTCCCTTTCTTCAAGGCCCAACTCAGACCACTCCTTCTGCAGGAGGTTTTCCTGTGGAAACTGGTGCTTCTGAGACTTGTGCATCAGAATCACCTGGAAGGCCCTCTGAAGCACAGGTGTGTCAGAGCTAACCCCTAGGGTTTCAGATTCAGCAGTTCTGTGGTACAGCCTGAAAATATGCATTTCTATCATGCCCGCAGGTGATGCTGGTACTGTAGCCTCGGGCTACACTTTGAGAACCACTGGTTGGAGCTAATGGCTTTCAAACTGGGTTTGTTGATGATTTATCAGGGGCCTTGACGGCAGTGTGTGTGGAGGGGGAATCTTTGTTCCCTCCAACCCTGCAGGGTGGTCTTGCTTCTATGTATTTATGATTCTTAAGTTCAATATAATTTTTTTTTTTTTGAGATGGGGTCTCCCTTTGTCACTCAGGCTGGAGTGCAGTAGCGTGATCTTGGCTCACTGCAACCTCCCCATCCCAGGTTTGAGCGGTTCTCCTGCCTCAGCCTCCCGAGTAGCTGGGACAACAGGCACGTGCCACCATGCCTGGCCAATTTTAGTAATTTGAATTAAGATGGGGTTTCACCATATTGGTCAGGCTGGTCTTGAATTCCTGACCTTGTGATCTAATTGCCTCGGACTCCCAAAGTGCTGGGATTACAGGAGTGGGGCCTCCATATAAAATTTTAATGGAAGAAAAGATTTAGTTAACAGAGAAAAAATGTCTAAAAGTTACAGCTCCTCACCAATCCCTGTGAAATGCGCTCTTGCCTCTGAGGGGACAGTGTGGCTTCTCTTTTGTACTGTGGTTTCCGTAAGGTTTGGCTCTACTTCTACTGGTAGTTTTAGGTGTAACAGACATTTTTAACTTTTAGTAGTCATTTTTATAACTATTATAAATTTATAACTTTTATTTTAATAGTTATTTAGTATTTATTACTGAGAAGCGGAAAAAAAATCTAACATATCCAACTAGCACATCTGTGACTCTCCAGATGATAATTCCTTAAGGAGCAGCTACATTAAAAAAGTGAGCAGTTGGCCAGGTGGAGTGGCTCACACCTGTAATCCCAGTACTTTAGGAGGCCAAGGCAGGCAGAGCACCTGAGATCAGGAGTTTGAGACCAGCCTAACCAACATGGTGAAACACCATCTCTACTAAAAATACAAAAATTAGCCAGGTGTGGTGTCAGGTGCCTGTAATCCTAGTTACCAGGGAGGCTGAGGCAGGAGAATCACTGGAACCCAAGAGACGGAGGATGCAGTGAGCTGAGATTGCTACGCCGCACTCCAGCCTGGGCAAAAAAGCAAGATTCCATCTAAAAAAAAAAAAAAAGTGAGCAGTTGAAAGTTGCTGTAAGGCAGCCTCTGAAGTGAAAGTCCAACTGCCACTCTGTTCATGCACAAGCTGCTGGAGAGGCTGAAGTTTAGGAAAAGCTTTGGAACGGTTTGAAAGTCACCTACAGCGTGGCCCTGCTCCCTCAATGCCCTTGAGTTTCTTCCCCTTGAGTTGCATGCTAATTGTCCCCTGTTGTCTTTCTTAAAATAATAAAAGATTAAGATGACATTTTGAAAAGGGCACCTCATTAAGCAGCCTTGTCCCCACTGCAGCACACACTCCCACACAGTGGCCAGCTGCCCATTTATCTTATGGTGATGAGGTGTCACCTCCCCTCCACGGGCCTACCTTCCTCGACCTCTTCCTCCGACACTGCCTTTCTCCCTCCCACCCGCCACCCCGCGAGGAGGAAGCATGTGTGTGAGAGCATACGCACGGTAGGGGCCAGGAGAAGGGACACCTGAGATCCCTAGAATCCCCCTTCTGAGTATCAGGCCCAGAGGCAGGAGGATGTGGAGGAACACGCAGTGAGTCAGGAGGGAGCAAGGCCCTTACCTGTACACTGTGGTTGGAGGGGAACTCAGGCTGTCGTAGACCAGCCGCACGTGGCCCTGGTACAGCTCCAGCGCCAGGGGGTCATTGTCTCCTTTATAGAGAAGGATGCCGTTGTCCTTGTCGGTGGCCACCTGGACAAAGCAGCCAGGGCATGTCAGTGAGGGCTTACCTGAGACTGAACCTCCTCTGCTCATCTCACAGAACCCTCTTCCAGGCAGCAGCTTCTGAATCTGTGCTGGGTCTAAATTCACATCCATCTTTCCTCCTCCATCTATCTAGTAGGTAAATCCCCAGAAGGTAAGGCCTGGACTTAAACCTCAGCAAGTGCTGACCGAGCAAACTAGTTCAACACATTTTTACTGAGCGCCTACTATGCACACTACGTCCATATATTTATGGTGTCAGGAGGCCCGAGCTCTAATGTGCCCTCTCCCTCTGGTGCACAACATGATTCCATCCAAGTCCTGGCCCTTCTTTGGCCTCTGTCTCTCTGTATAAAATAGAACAATAAGGGGTTTTTTTTTGCTTTGTTTGTTTGAGACAGAATCTTGGCCCAGGCTGGAGTGGAGTGGTGCAATCTCGGCTCACTGCAGCCTCCGTTCCCAGGTTCGGGCATTTCTGGTGCCTCAGCCTCCCGAGTAGCTGGGACTACAGGTGCCTACCACTATGCCTGGCTAATTTTTGTATTTTTAGTAGAGACAGGGTTTCACCATGTTGACCATGCTGGTCTCAAACTCCTGACCTAAAAATGATTCACCCACCTTGGCCTCCCAGAGTCCTTGGATTACAGTGTGAGGCACTGTGTCTGGTTGAATAATAAGAGTTATAAAGAAAATGCTAACAATGATCATTAATTCAATGTTTGCTAGGAACCAGGCACTGTGCTAAGAGTCATCTGGGGAATTAAAAAAATGCCAGTGTCTAGACTTTACCCCAGACCAGCTACACATGAATCTCTTGCAGGTGGGGCCCAGGCAAAGATAATTTTATTTTTTTATTTATCTAGTTTTTTGAGACAGAGTCCTGCTCTGTTGCCCAGGCTGTAGTGCAGTGGCATGATCTCGGCTCACCGCAACCTCTGCCTCCTGCATTCAAGCTATTCTCCTGCCTCAGTCTCTCAAGTAGCTGGGATTACAGGCACATACCACCATGCCCAGCTAATTTTTGTATATTTGGTAGAGACTGGGTTTCACCATGTTGGCCAGTCGGGTCTCGAACTCCTGATCTCAAGTGATCCACCCACCTCCACTTCCCAAAGTGTTGGGATTACAGGTGTGAGCCACTACACCTGGCTAAAGATGATTCAAAAAGTTCTCTAGGTGACTCTAAAGTATTGCCAAGGCTAAAAGTCACTGGTTTCAGAAGTTGCACTCAAAGCCAGCCACCTGGAATGAGATTCTTAGATTAGTGGATGGGCCCTCATCACCTGGTACATCTGGCCTGAGGAATGGGGTATGAAGCAGGCAAGTTTGAGAGGACATCTAGATGCTGGGGGTACTGGGCGCTGTCTTGACTAGCCTGGGTGGGTGGGACTGAGCAAGGAAGGCAGGAGCGGATGATGACAGCCAGAGCCTCCTCCTTGTTTGTGCCCACGGTCAACCCTTATCTCAGAGGCCTGTCCACTGGGCTGTAAGCTTCACAGGGTGAGGCAGGTTGAACTTTCTGTGCACTTCTACAACTTCTGTGTCTCGAATGATGCCTGGCATGTATAGGTGCCAATTAGATCTTTGTTGAATAGATATTTTCTCTATAAGCCCACGAGCCAAGGTTTAAACCTGAGCTAATGGAGCCATAACCAAAAAAAAGGCCAGAGCCCTAGTTAGTGCCCAGTAGCACCCAGAAATGCCCAACCCAGGTGGCTCCTTCGTCACAGCAAACCTGCAGGCAGGGGCCCATTCTTTGTCTGTCCTAAACCTTCCCTGCCAATCCCCCTTCCAGAAGAACATTTATGTTGCCCAGAAATGCAGTTTGGAATAAATGTGCTTCGTCTACAGGTAAGGAACCTGGGAGAAGTTAGAAAAGAACTTGGTTTGTGCTCAATGGTTTTCCATTCCTCTGGACCTTTGCCGCAAGCTGATTTCTCCTTAAGCCCCAGAGGTGGACACCCCCCAACTTCTGTTCTTCTCTGGTCCCCTAAGGCCCAGCACCCTTTTACACTTCATCAGGCAAGCTCCTGTTCACCCTTCAGATCTCAGCTGTGTGATCACTGCCTCTGGGGAGCCTTCCCTGATTCTCCTCCACAGACTGTGATCACTGCCTCTCCCATGTGCTCCCACAGCCCCCAGGGTTGCCGCTGTCCCTGCCCTTGCCATTCTGCCTCAGACGGGTTTTGTCTGTCTCAAATAGAATCGCAGTTCTGTGGCACAGTGTCTGGCATACAATAGTTGAATGAATATTTTCTGGAGGAATGAGTGAATGAGGCTGGAAGTGGGGGCTGCAGTTTGCAGTGAGAGCTGGTCAGGAGTTATCAATAGAACCCTCTGAATGAGTTGGTTCAGGTGTCCTCAAGCTGAGTGTTGTCCCTGATGGTGCTTTACTGCTAAGATGGGGCATTCCAGCAATTTTCTGAACAATCAGAGCTTGGGGCATGTTGAGGTCCTTTTAAGGGCAGGGCAGGGCAGGGTGGGACGCACCTGCAGGGAGATGTTGGCCTGGGGTCGGACCTTGGCGGAGGCCAGTTCCACATAGGAGTCCTTGCCCACAAAGTTGACGGTGATGAGCTTCTCGCATCTGGGGCCGGCGAAGCCTGGTGGGCAGCGGCAGGTGGGTTCCTGCTGCACCACGATGCACTGGGCCCCATTCTGGCACTCGTACTGGTCACACGGGCTGGTCTGTAGCAGGACCATGGGTGGGGGGTGCTCGCAGAAGAGTCCACTGGAAGCAGGGGGAAAGAACCGGGAGGAAGACAGGAGAATGGCCAAGAGGAGAAATCACAGTTACTCAGGCCAAAGAACCTTGAGTAGAGCGGTGGAGTGAGGTGGGAAGTAACACTAGTTCTAGGGGATAGTTTCAGCCCTGCCGCTAACTAGGGCAAGAGCTTTTCCTTCTCTAAGTCCCAGATTTCCCATTTTTAAGATAAGAGAGTTTGGGGCAGCCACAGTGGCACGAGCCTATAGTCCCAGTTACTGGGGAGGACTGCTTGAGCACAGGAGTGAGAGTTCAGCCTGGAGAACAGAGCAAGACTCCATCTCCAAGAAATAAAATAATGGAGTTGGACTCGAGCAGAGGTCCCTACATTTCAGTGTCATCCGAATTGCCTGGGGGTGATTGCTTAAAAGAGCACATTCTCACCCATGGAAATATAAATGGATAAGCAAAATGTAGCCTATCTGTTCACTGGAACATTCTTCAGCAGTAAAAACAAAGGGAATTCTGACAGATCCAACAGCGTGGATGAACCTTGAGGACATCATACTAAGTGAAATGAGCCTGACAAAGGACAAGCGCTGTATGAGTCCACTTATATAAAGCATCTAGAGTCAGCAAATTAGTCAACATTCTGTTGAAAATATTCAATCAAAGTAGAATAGAGGTTACCACTGAGGAACCATCATGTTTGTTCTCCAGCCTAGAAAGAAGATTCTGGTCAGTGTGGCCAGAACCATCATGTTTGTTCTCCAGCCTAGAAAGAAGATTCTGGTCAGTGTGGCTACGTGGCTACCTCCACCCTGCAAGCTGGGCTTCAAGATGGTGGCATCTTCCATTAGATGGCATCCTGCCCAAACTTGACATGATGTGAGCTGAATCTAAGCCCAACTTTCACATGGAGTTGCCACAAGTAGCTCTTCTCCCATCAACAATGTGGGATCACCAATACCGGCTCTATTTCCCTCATATGGACATGTAGGGACTGCAAAGGTGTCAGGGGAATCAAGAACCACCCAGAACCAGGGCTATGGCCAACTGGGCCTGGGTCTCCACCCTGGCTGCCTTAGCCAGTCAGCCCCAGCCCCTGCCACCTGGCCCAGGTTGTCTCCTTCCTGAGGTGCCCTCCTGTCTTACCTGAAGCCCTGGGGGCAGGTGCATGTGTAGCCATTGACTGCGTCCACACACTGGGCCCCATGCCGGCACTTGTGGGCCACACAGTCATCATTGTCTGTCTCACAGAGCTTCCCGCTGTAGCCAGGGACACACTCACATCTGGAACACAGGCAGAGGCAAGACTGTTCCTCAAGGCAGGGCCAGCTTTCAGGCAGTCACTCTCCCGCCCTCCTCAGCAGGTGGCCTCTCCCCATCTCTTCTATCTATCCAAGTTCCTTTGGGCTCTGCAAAGCCTGGCTCCACAGCAGGTTTCCCTGGTGACCCATGGCCTTTGTTCCCTTCATGGTGGAGTGAGTCTTGTGTTCTGGAGCCAGGGTGAGGAACACAGGGTTGACTCATCCAGCTTTTGGCTTGGATCTGCCACTTCCTACATGAAACTGACGTTCAGTTTGGTCCTTCCTTTGGGTCAGGCACTGTGCTAAGCCCCTTTCACTGAGTTCTCATTGAGGCCTCCCAGGACCCTGTAAGGGAGGGTCTACCATATTCCATCGCAAGGAAGAAACCAGAGGGCAGAGAGTGCTGCAGGCACTTCCCTGAGGACCCCCAGACCCTCATTGAGTGATAGTACTTAGTTTACACTTGCATGTCAGAAACTGTTCTAAGTGGATCAGTCACTCATTACCTCTCTGTGTTTCAGTTTCTTCATCTTTAAATGCAATTGATAAATAACTTCACCTCTTATGGTTGTTTTAAAAATGATACAATTTAAAGATGATAAAAATGATGAAATGATACTGTGTAGTGTACTACATAGACATTAAATATTCAACGTGACATGTAGAAGATGAATGAAGAGGAATATGATACTGTTGGCACTCTGAGATTCAGACCAGGATGAGAAAAGCAAAATCCCTGACACAGGCAGGGAGGTGAGGGTGGAAGGGAAGCAAGCTCTCTGAACTCTTAGGTGGATAAGCAGCCCGTGGAAGAATCAGGGCAAAGGAATGGTCTTTCCTCAGCCCTCTCCTCCCTTCTCCTAAATAGAAGTGGGGTGGAATCCTCAAGTGGCAACCCTACTAGCATTGCTGGGGTTGGCAGAGCATGATGCAGGCCGTAGATTCATAACTAGGTAAGACACGGAGGGGGTGACTTGTCCTTGACTGGAACAAGTTCCAGAAACTGAGGACTTACTGGGCCTGCGCTCAAAAATTGAAATCTGCTAAGATCTGAACATTTCACCTTTACTTATTTGAATGGCAAATTTGAAATACATAACCTGTTGCTGCTTACATGTTCAGCCAGTCTTTCAAGGAAACACACTGAGAATGCCTTCAAGGGGCATGTGCTCCATATACTACCATGTCTGCTTCTGCTACTGTGTTAAACGTGGCCCTGGTCGGCATCTGTGCCTCCTGAATTCTAAAAAGTAGCTGCTGAGCAACTTAAGCTATTTGACTTTCTCCAAGGCAATGATAGCTGCCCAGTACTTACAAGATAAAATCCAGTATTTTAAGCCTAGACTTCAAGGCTACTGATGAGGTCTTTATTAGGAATTAGATTAGCTATTCTCACTCTCAGACTAACCAGTGGCGGTTTGGAGGCAAACGTGTTTACCTTATTCTTCTTTTTAAATGCTACAGCCCTTTCCATACCAGCAAGTCTCAAACTTTAATGAGCATACAAAACACCCAGGGATCTTGTTAAAACATGTCTTCTGATTCAGGGAGTCTGTGTTGGGCCTGGGAACTAGCATTCCTAGCAAGCGCCCATGTGATGTGGATGCTGCTGGTTCAAGAACTCTGGTAGGCGGAACCTCTATAATATCTCTCCATTGACTAGAGAGAGACAGCCAGCACCATCCCCTGCGTTCCCTATTGTTCTCAAATGCTTGCCTTTATCTTTCTTCTAAAGTGCAAGGTGTATGCATTTTAATATGTGTTGGGTCTATTGATTCTGCAAAAGGGGGAGTAACCGAGTGCTGTTCTTGGTTCCAGGACAGCTGGAGTCTCTGGATTTAGCTGAGAAATCAGTCAGGCCCAGACTGATTCACATCCCCACCCCTTTCTATGTGTGTATGGAGGTGGCTTGTGTCACCTTGGTGAGTCTCATAAAATGTAAATGAGTTTCTACGTTCAAAGACTGTTGGATGTTGGATAATACACCTTGCCTGACAAAGAATAAGTCAGCAGTACATGCTAGTCATTATGATCTTTCTTTTGGCTGTCGTTATTTTCATTATTACGGACAGGTACTATCTGCCCATCACTGAGACCTCATTGCAGGAGTGTACAAGGAGAACTCCAAGGATAAACATCTTCACACTTGGGCAAAGGTCACCCTGACTGTGTATCCCTTTGGCTAATATCCCTATAGGCTGCCATAGGATATGAGTTGTTTGGTGATGAAGACAAAGGGGATGAAATGATAAAATGTTGTATTGGAAGAATAATTTTTGACTTAAACACATTTTAATAAAAAACTAACATTATTAAGCTGGCCTGTAGACCTCCTCAAGATAATGACATCACATATAAATAAAATATCTCAAGATTATGAAAGCTAGACTGATTTCATTTTTTTTTTAACCACCAAATACTAGGCTTCTCAGGTAGATTTCCTTCTTTCCTATATTGTCTTAAAACTCAAGGGACTTTGGTTACAATAGAGAGTGAGGTTTCTAGTACTAAGTTCTGGGGATCATTGAAACCTGGCGTTGTTAGCTCTCCAGCACCCCAACCCCACACCTGCACCCTAGACCGTGTCTTTTTTTTTTTGGAGACGGTCTCGCTCTGTCGCCCAGGCTGGAGTGCAGTGGTGTGATCTTGGCTCACTGCAACCTTCGCTTCCCAGGTTCAAGCGATTCTCCTTCCTCAGCCTCCTGAGCAGCTGGGATTACGGGCGTGCACCACCACACCTGGATGATTTTTGTATTTTTAGTAGAGATGGGGTTTCGCCATGTTGGCCAGGCTGGCTCCTGAGACCACTTCTGACCAGCGCTGGTGCAAGACTGTGTCTTCTGAGCTTGCTGTCTGCTCTGCCAAGAGGCAATTTATCTCCTCTCCATGGGTGGACCCCCATTCCCTGCCCCTTCCCAGGCATGCCCAAAGCACTCTGCTTGCCAGCCTGGCCTACTCTGCTTTGGGTTCAGGTTTGCATTTTAAACATCTCTTCCCACCCCTTGTCCCTTCATTCTTCCCTGCCCCCTCATAGTATCCCACACTTGGTACAGATCCGCTGTAAACCGGAGTCAAATTCGGGGGGTGGGAGTGGCAGGGAAGTCCTGGGAGGCATCTCTAACCTTTGTACTCAGGTAACTCGACCGCCTAAAAGTCCCACCTGGCATATCTGAGGGGGCCCGGGACAGATGAGGTGGATGGGGATGGGGTAGGCATAGGGAAGGGCTGAAGCTTCCTTTGGTCTCATCCAGCAAAACCAGAGCCTCTTGCATTTCCCGTGGTGATGAGCTCTAGGCTTGTGATGTGAAAATAAAAAAGGAAGACATGCTCATGTCCTCCTCTCACCCTTACTTACTTGTCTTTCTTCCCCCAGTGGGGCCCTCCTTCCTTCTCTCAGCCCATCCAAATTCCACCCACCGTCAAGGGTCACCCACATTCCACTCCTAAACGGGAGGAGCTGCTTCTCTGCTCCCACAGGCAATTCCTTCCTTAGAACTTCACCAGCAGAGCCAGAATCGTGAGGCCTAGAACTTCCTTCTTGTCTAAATGTTTGCTCAGTGTCAAATCTTCCTCCCCTAGGTTTATGACAAGGGCCTTGAGGAGAGGAATCAAAACCATCTTACATTCCCCACTGCACTCCACACAATCAAGATCTGTGGACTGATGGACGGGCTGGCTGGGGGCAACAACTAGAACTCCTGCTTCTTAGATTCTGGATTCTAAGAGCTCACAGGTTCAAGTTTCAGAGATTCTACAAATTTAAATTTCTAAGATTCTGTGATTGGGCTTTCTGAGATCCTGAGGTTCCCTGAAACTCTAAGTTTCACTGTATAGAATCTTAGTTGCAAACACCCCCAGAGTGTGAGAGCTCTCTGCCCCGTGACTGAGAACAGGACAGACTCTGGGTGATGAGCCTGTCCCATCGAGACCTAGAGCATGAGCTTCTGTCCCCCTGCCCCTGAGGCTGGAGATGCCACTGGTGGGCACTATCCTTAAAGTCTTGTCAGCACAGGCATGGAGCTCTGGGCCCAGGGCCCTCATCCCTAGGTGAGGCTCAGTAAGGTCATCTCTGGGGTCTGCTAAGGGTCTATCCTGGGGTCTCCCCAGTTGCTCTAGACTGCCTGTTTCCCCAAACCCTGACTCCTTGGTGCTAGCAGCTTCCCCCTGGTGTTGGATAGACTGCTGGAGAGAAGAGGGAGGCAGCTGTGTGTAGAAGGCAGCACTGGGGACGCAAAGAACATTTTTGGCTACAGGGTTCTGGGATCTCACTCTCGATGTCAGAAAAGCCCCGGTCTCAAGGGTCACATGATCTTCTCTAGAAGAGGCAATGGCACAAGTTTTCATGAAGGAGGTGAAAGGAAGAGGTGAGTAAAAGGCCTGGGAAGGATTTCCCAGGAGTGTCATTGGATCCTCAGTCTCAAGAGCTGGATGGCTTTCTCCGGAGGCAGCCTCTCCATCCACCCTTAGGGCTGCTCACAGGCTCCCCTGGCTCCTATTGGCTCTGCTGCTCACCATGGAGACAGCTCCACCAATGGCCATGCTGCTGGACCACAGTGCTCCTGCCTCCTTTCCCTGCAACAGGTGCATAAGCTGAAAACTTGCTGTAGCCTGGAGGGGCAGAGCACTGTGAAGGCTACACAGGAAGAAGGTGACCAAATACCCTTTAGACTCTGCTTCCCAGTGGAATTCCTCTACATCTTTAGATGGAAAGGAGGGATATGCTGAGAGAATTGGGAAGTTGGTGGGAGTGGAGACGCAAGAAAGAAGGGGCAGGGAAGAGAAAGAGTTGATCTCTCTCTCTCTCATTCTGTCTACCTACGTACCTACCTGTCTATCTACAGAGACACAGAGAGACAGAGGCACACATAGGGAAACAGACTGAGAGAATTAGATCATGGCTGAATCAGAGATACAGAGAAGCACATGACAGAGTGTGCAGAGAGACTAGAGACTGCCTAAAACCTAGATTGTTAGAGGCAGAGTTTTCATGGACTCTGTGCTGTGGGCACGAGACCAGGTCTTACCTGAATCCTTTGTCCAGGGTGATGCACTTGGCCTCATGCTGACAGAGGTTCAGCTCAGGCACACAGTGGTCGATCACCTCGTCACACAGCTCACCTGGCATGGATGAGGGAGAACACTCAGGCCTTGGGTAGGGGAGGGATACCCCGGCCAGAAGGTCAGACTCGTCCAGCCCGTGGTCAGACGGGCATGGACCTCAGGAGTCCTGCCTTTTCACTCTTTGTGCATCCTCCTGCACCTCTGCCTTGGTTTCTTTGGCAGTGACCATGGGAAGATTCCAGGTGTCCTCCTGGACGCTGTCCTAGCACCATCATTTGGCTGTCTTACTTGATCTTTCAGGGGCAGGTGAAAGCACAGGATGCCTGGCCCTGACGTGGGCCATGCTTATTCATTTGTTTTTTCATTCCATACCTATTTCCTGAGTACCTCCTGTTTGGCAGGTACTGTGCCAGGCGCTGGGGACACAACAGTGACTAGGGTCTGTCCTACCCACAGCCTACTTGGGAAGATCTACACATAAGAAGGCAATTAGAACACAGAGTTGTAGGTGTGACCAGAACTCTGTGGAAGCACAAGGGGGACCCATAACCTTCCCCAGGAGGTCCAGAGGAGGCTTTGCAGACACAGACAAGGCTTAAAAGCCCAGTTCACCCATTAGAGATAAGTAAGCCCCTTGGATTTTTCAGGGAAGGAAATATGAAAAGAATGTGAAGTTCCGGTCTCTCGACACATTGCCTTTGAAGTCTGCAGTGCTACAAAATACCTAATGGGTCATAATACCCAGGGATGACCCTTGCAGATAAGCCCTGAAAAACTCCCACCACCTGAAAATGTGTTTTAGGAATGTGGGGGAGAGCCGTAAGACAGGACAGCAGCTCTCAAGCAACGCCAGCATTTAAGATCTGAGTGTTGGGTTTCTTCAAATTCCACTTGGTCAAGCCAGAAAGAGAGTGATGTAAGAGAGGGAAAGGTCTAACCATGAATGTTCTCTCCAGGAGTGGGGCGGGAGCAGGGCGGAGAAGGCTGCCTCAGCTCCTGCTCCCAAGGTACAGGCAGTTACGTCCAGAGGGCTGGCTGCAGGGTAACGAATGGCAGACAGCCCCCAGGTCTGTTCTTTGCTGTGGTGGGGACAGGCTGACCCCGACCATGTCCTGGGAGAGAGCACTGAATCGCCCGCTCTCCACATTTTGCCTTCAGCCTTTCAAGACCACAGAGGGCACTACGTTCCTGATAAGCCTCCTCTTTCTTTCTCGTCACATGGAGAGATCCAGAGAAGCAGACAAGTGTCTTTGTGGGACTTGGATGTCTTCTGGGACAGAGCAAATCACAGAGCCTCATTCTCTACCTGGGTTTCCTGGGAATGAATTCTGGTTGACACTTTATAACTGCTTGACCTTGATGTTGGCAGTTGTGGAGATTCAGTGAGATTATACAAGCACTGACTCTCAGGACCAAAGTGCAACAAATCAGCAGTGCACCCTGGTCGATGGCAGACACCAGGTGGGTCTCAGCTGCGGCAGGAAACCCTCTCATCAAGGCCTCCTCGGTGCCCTCCTGCTGCCCATCTGCCTGCCACAAATTCAGTTCAAGCCCCTCCTCTACCACAAAACCTTTGTTAGAGCCCCACTACCCTCTCCATTTTTACTGCTGGGATTTTAACCATCTCTCTTCTGGCACTAAGCTGATTCTTCTCAACCAATGACTCAACTCTATATAGTGATTCTTCTTGTGGACCTGAAGCCCTTTGTAGGCTGATGGCCTACCTTAGATTTCTTGGTCTAAGTGGCTAATTTAGTAGTCTGTATACAGTAGGTGCACAATAACTGTTGCCTGTTGCTAATGCAACTCTTGGCTACACTTTTGCTCTCAGAAGATAAAAGATGGAAGAGGAGGTAACCCCTCAGCAGATTTCTGGCTTTTTTTTTTTTTTTGAGATGGAGTTTTGCTCTGTCACCCAGGCAGGAGTGCAGTGGCATGATCTCAGCTCACTGTAACCTCCACCTCTGGGCTCAAGTGATTCTCCTGCCTCAGCCTCCGGAGTAGCTGGGATTACAGCTGTCTACCACCACACCTGACTACTTTTTGTATTTTTTAGTAGAGACTGGATTTCACCAGGTTGGCCAGGCAGGTCTTGAACTCCTGACTTCAGGTGACCTGCCTGCCTTGGCCTCCCAAAGTGCTAAGAGTACAGGCATGAGCCATGGCGCCTGGCCCCCACAGCAGATATCCATGCACTTTCTCCCAGCACAGAAGCTTGTCTGGGGTCCTAGGAAGCCCAGGATTATTAGAGTGAGCGGTTTTCTTGGTTGGAGTGGTACATTCCTGCGGTCTCAAGCGTGTGCTTGGAGATACTGTCAGTTGGGCTGGAGGCTTGATAATGGTATGGGTTACGAGGGACAACGGGAGCCACTTGGCTTCCTTCTCTGCAATCTTCCGGGCTGCTTCTATTCATCTTCCATAGCTTCCCACCTCCCATTTCACTCCTGATAGAAAAGCCAGGTTCCAGCAGTCCAGGGCGTGGGAGTTACTGAGCTACCCCCTCCTCATAGTCTCCTTGCCTTAGGCTGGTATTTGCTAAACGTGCTTCTTGTAACACGAGATCTCTGGGCTGGGAATAGTATTCCAGGGTGGGTAAGAAGAAGCTCTGAGATCAAATAAGCTTGGGAACTGCTGGGTTAAGCAAACTTTAAACACCTTTCTTTAAAGCAGGAATTCTCAGAACCTCTAATACGCTGATTTGTATCACGGTACGCCAAGAAGAAGGTTCTTACTACATGCAGTACTTCCCAAACTTCTTGGCTCATAGGGACTTCTCCTCAAATTCATGGAATTCCAGTCTGGGATACGCTACTTTTGGTTGATCGCATAACAAAGTAGGCGGTGTTTGCACCAAAATTGGTAGCATTATGGTTCCCAATCTAAAGACATATTTAACTGTCCTTATTAGGGGCTGTTAATGTAGGAAAATAAAGGTATTGTGTTTTGGGGGTGGGTGGGTGGAATGATCTTCCTGAGGAATGATCTCTTGTGGGAGCCTTCCTGGATTCTCTGGCTGGGTTAGGTTCCTCCTCTGTGATCTCACACCCCCTGGGCTTATGGAAGTTATGTTCTCTTTCTAATGAATCCATGCCTCTGTCCACCTGAGTGTAAACTTCTTATGAGAAGGAACTTTGTCTTGTTCATTTTTGTATCCCTGGCTCCTAGCTGAGTGTCTGGAAAAGGTGGATTTCAAGAGACAGTTGACTAGACTTGAGCGAAGCATAAACACATCGCAAGTGCCTCTCTGTAAACACCACTGGGTCTACAGGGGCCCTAAAGAAGAAAATGGCCAGCAATGTGATGAACAGCAGCTAAAGAGCCTGAGACTCTGTTTCAAGTGAGAAGGAGCAGTGATTTGCTAGTGGGTGGTGGTGGAGGAAAGAGAGAAGCAAACAGGCCTTTGGGACCCCCTCCTGGCATAGCATGGTCTTGGGGTCCTAGTCTCTGTCCTCAGGGAGAGCGGAGGAGAGTCCTTGGAAGAAGTTAAGAAAATGGTATTCTAGTGATACCCCTCCACCCCGCCACACATGCAATCATGAGAGCCTTACCTGTGTAGTTTGGCGGGCAGACACACACATAGTTGTTGATCCCGTCCACACAGGTGGCATTGTTTTCGCAGTCGTTGTCCTCACAGTCATCTGGGTTGATCTCACACCGCTGTCCCTCAAAGCCCAGAGGGCAGGAGCAGCTTTGGGATGTGTGGGTGGGGAGCATGGGAGAGAGGGGTCAGAGAGAGAGGTGGGTTGGGTTGGCAGAGAGAAAGACAGGAATGGGAAATACAATTAGTCAATTTCTCTTCCAGATGGAGGTCTGAGAAAGCACTTTGAACACATGAGGCCTTGGGGTCCTGAGGAGGAAGACCCTTAGGAGCCTAAAAGGTCATTTCATCCAGCCCCCTGTCTCCAGGCAATGTTCTATCTCCCCTGGTCCATGCGGCTGCCTCACTCTGGGGCTAATGTCCATCGGCAATGCCCATGTCATCATTCCCCCAGCTGGAAGTGGTTTCCTGGATATGGCTTAAATTCCTCCAGCTGTCCTCCAAACCACCCTTCCTTCCGTGCTTCTGAGGCACAGTCTCTTTTGCAGATAAAGAGAGACAGCACAATAAACATTCTCCTTTAAGTAATTTTTTTACTCTAAGGCAGCCTTTCTATCTCAGGGTCAGGGGGTGGGCAGAGCATAGTGGCCAAGGTCCCAGATGCTGCACCCTGGTTTCCTGGGAATGAATTCTGGTTGACACATTCTAGCTGCTTGACCTTGACCTGGGTGGTTGTGGAGATTAAATGAGATTATATGAGCAAAATGATTAGAAGGGTACAAAGCACACAGAAAATTCTCTGAACCCATTAGCAAGCTTTAGAGCTACACAAAACCACCCCACTTCCTTAACCGTTCCTCAGGGTTGCCATTTCTCCCTATCATGTATTCCTCCTACCTCTGAGCCCCTCCAGCTTCTGGGGGATGAAGGCAGGAGTGGGAGGATCCCTCTCCTGCCAAGAGTGAGGCCTTCAGGTGAACTTGGCTTCAAACATTGTGGGCTGGCAAGATGCATTTCCTTCACTTGTCTCTTAAGTGTTAAATCTCGTGGATCAAAATTTCAACTGCCTGCATCTCTACCTGATCTTGGTCATATCCCCAAGACTGGGCATGCGAGATAGGTCAGAACAGATAAAGGCTGTGTGGAAAGAGTGGGGGTTGGGGTGGAGCGAGTGGTATTTCTAATTAAATAAATTCTGCAGTGACTCTCGATCTTTCTGTGGCCTCACCCAGGAGTCAGGGATTCTCACTCCATCCGTGAATGTGTGCTTCAGTTCAGACCTGGAATTTCAGGTTTCAGAGATTACTCTGATTTGGGATTTAGCTAAAAGAGTAATCTACACTCAGCTAACAGGCAGTGAATTTCAGTGGTCCTAGAATGCTCCTTAATTGGCCTCCTTTCTATGACTGAAAACCATGTCACACTTTCAACAAAAGGCCAGGGGCCTCTTGGGTCCCACCTCTTGGGATACAGCAAAATGACTCATTCCTTTTTCCTGTCAGGGACTCTGGGCACTCATGAAAAAGGCCACTTCATCAGACCCAGACAGAGGGCAGGTTTCTGAAAGTCCCAAACCATGGTGTTGCCCATTTGTTTTCCTAAAGACTCATTACTTTGGCCCTCCCAGAACCTTAGGGCTACCTGGCAGTGAGACATGGTGGCTGGTCAAGGAAAGAGAGATTGCTAAAGGAGTGACAGAGGGGAGAAGGAAGCCGATGTCTCCTTGTCCTCACTGGAAACCTTGGAGGGCTGTCGAAGAGACTCCAGGAGCAATGAATTGGCTGTGGGGGTGATGGCAGATCTCCTGTCCTGTCGCGGTCTTCGGTGTGGCCTGCTCTGCCAGCCTTTGCTGTTTTTGTGAGCGGGCAATGCAGCAAGATTAGAGAAGCACAGGTACGAGGAGACTGGTGATGTTGATGACTAAGGGGTGTTACGGGTTGAACTGTGTTCCCCCCAAAGAAAGATATGTTGAAATCCTGGCCCTGAGTACCTCAGAACATGATCTTATTTGGAAATAGGGTCTTTGCAGATGTGGTTAGTTAAGTTGAGGTCCTGATAAAAGAGTACAGACCAGCCTGGCACGGTGGCTCATGCCTGTAATCCCAGCACTTTGGGAGGCTGAGGCAGGTGAATCACCTGAAGTCAGGAGTTCAAGACCAGCCTGGCCAACATGGTAACATGGTGAAATCCCATCTTTACTAAAAATACAGAAAAATACAAAAAACAGCCGGTTGTGGTGGTGTGCGCCTGTAATCCCAGCTACCCAGGAGGCTGAGGCACGAGAATTGCTGGAACCCGGGGGCAAAGGCTACAGTGAGCCGATTGTACCACTGCACTCAGACTGAGCAACAGAGCACAAGACTCTGTCTCAAAAAAAAAAAAAAAAAAAAAAAAAGAGTATGGACCCATAATCCAATATAACAGGTGCCTCTAAAAGAAGATGGCCATGGAGAGGCAAACACAGGGAGAGCACCGGTGACCATGTGGGCAGAGAGAGGGGTTCTGCAGCCACAAGCCAGGGCATGCCAAAGATTGTGGGCAACAACAGATGCCAGGGAGGGACAGGTGAGGAGCCTCCCCCAGAGGCTCGGAGGGAGCACGGCCCTGCTGACAGCTTGATTTGGGACTTCCAGCCTTCGGAACTGCCAGACAGTAAATTTCTGGTGATTACAGCCAGCCCTAAGGAATTACTGTAGAATGGAAGAGGGGAGCATACAGGGGAGCTTCCTGACAAGCATCCCTCCCCTTCACCCGCCAGGTGCTGGCCTGATGTGGAAGAGCTTCCCTACTCCTTGAGGAGTGCGTGCAAGCTCTGCCATCCCTAGTAACTGCCCCACTGCCTTAACCCTCCACCCATTTCCCTGATCCTGTAGATCCGGGCCCTTTTCCTTTTACATTAAGTCCTAAAAATATTTTCAGTTCATCTGAAACTCTTCAATGACCAAAGATGCAAATGAGATACTTCTGCTCACCTGAACCTCCAGCTGACAGGAGAAATGCAGCTGCCTGCAGCGGGAGCTCTTCCCTCATCTGACCCCCATCTCTTGCCTGGGTGGGCAGACCAGGCTGTGTGCCCTGGAGGGGTGCTTCCTGGCTGGGGCCCCTGCGGCCACCTCCGTATTTCCCTGCCGTTTCTCCTCACTCCTGCTTTACATGAGCCGGCAGGAGTGGGTAGTTTGACTGACTCCAGGCAGGAAAAGGAACTCTGCCTTGAATTTCACTTTTTAGGAGGAAGAGTTTGTTGGAGCTGGCTTGGCAGGTGGACACGTGGGTGGGCAGGTTCCCTGGGGAGAACTGGGAGCCCAGAACTTGATTTCTTCCCCACACCACATGGCAGCCTCTGGTCAGAGTGCTTTTGATATTTAATTGGTTGCAACTTGAGCTCTAAGACACCCACACATGGCTTGGCATGAGGTACCCTTGCCTTTATTGCCAAGGGGCTGCCGCCTCCCGACTGTTCACCAGGGATGCCAGGGGAGCCTGTTCCCAACAGTCTGCTTTTGTCAGGGCCACAGGCCAGTGAAACTAGGCATCTGAAAGCTGCTGGGGAAGGTGGGAAGCAGGTTTGGGTAGAAGCCTAACCCCATTCCTAGTACAGGGAGGAGAGAAACCCAACTGCCTTCTATTCCCTTTTCTTCTTGAAATGTTAATGCCAGGAAGGAAAGAGAGCTGGAGGTGGGCTTGGAAGACCCAGGAATGAGCATCAGGAGGTGTAACCTAGAGCAAGTCCATCTCTGTGCCTCAGCTTCCCCATCTATTCAGTGAGGATAATACCTACCTACCTACCTGATAGGGTCATGTAGGGATTTAAATGAGGCAATACTTGACTAGTTGGTACCTGGCCTAATGAGCACATAATCAGTGCCACTTATTTTATAACTCAGAAAACAGTGGTGGAAGTGCCAGGCTGGTGGTCTTGAAAACTTCATCCCATCCTCCTCTGACTTTAGCCAGCAGCTGACTTTTCCCCTGGAGGAAGCACGAGGTTGGGACCTTGTTTCAAATCCCTGTACCAATGCTTAATGTAACTCTGGGCAAAGAATTTGTCCCTCTGATGCTTGAACCTCCTTATCTGCAAAATGGGATAAATTGTACTTCCCTTACAGGGTATGAAGAGACTCGAGGTCATTCTCATACAGGGCCAGCATAGTACAAGCACCAGGAAGGCCCTCGCTGGGCATATCTCTGCTTCTTTAGCCTGCCCAGGGAGCCCTCCAAGGTGAGTGATATGGTTTGGCTATGTCCCCACCCAAATCTCACCTTGAATTGTAATAATCCCCAAGTGTCAAGGGTGGGACCAGGTAGAGATAACTGAATCATGAGAGCAGTTTCCCCCATAGTCTTCTCTTGATAGTGAATAAATCTCATGAGATCTGATGGTTTTATAAATGGAAGTTCCCCTGCACAAGCTCTCTTTTGCCTGCCGCCATGTAAGATGTGCCTTTGCTTTTCCTTTGCCTTCTGCCATGATTATGAGGCTCTTCAGCCATGTTGAACTGTGAGTCCATTAAACTTCTTTCCTTTTTAAATTACCCAGTCTTGGGTATGTCTGTTAGCAGTGCGAGAACAAACCAATACAGTGAGGGAGGTCAGGGGTGAGCTGTTACCTGAACCCTTCCTTGTGGCTGTCACTCAGGTGGCAGGTACCTCCATGCTGACAGGGGTTCTGGATGCAGGTGTTGATGGGCACAGTGCAGTCCTTGCCCTGAGGAGCAAAAGAGGGAGAAGCTCCTGGTTAGGAGGCCTTCTTGGGCTGCCACGGCCCAGGAGACCCCAGGAGTTTCAGCATTCTCTGGGATGAAGCTAAGGAAATGGCCACAAGGAGGCCTTGGGAAAGGCCTGCTGTGTGACTTGGAGTCTACCCAGGGGAGCCCTCACCCCTAATCACTGCACAGTGAGAAGGGGAGGGGTGATGAGAAGCCAGGAGTTCAGGTTCCAGCCTCACTAATTCCCAGAATTTGCACCCTTCTCTCTCCCAAACTGCAGGGCAAGAACCCAGGTTTTGGATGCAGGCAAAGCTGGTTTCATATTCCAGCTCCATCTCTTCTGGGCTAGCTGATCATAACCTCACAAAAACCTCCTGACCTCTCCAAGTTCACCTCACAGAGTTACTATGAGAATTAAACTAGAGCTTTCATGTAAGGAAAAATTTCACGTAAGGAAAAGGTTACACAGTGTGTAAGCCACCTAGTGCATAGTAGGCATTCTGTAAATGCTAGAAGATGACATTACCTCACTGAAGCTTAAATATAACCCAAAACTTGTATAGGGCAGACTAAGACTAAAGTGTGGCCAACAGACCTCCTACAAAGGGACAACCCTCAGAGAACCATCCTTGAGTGATCTGTAGTGGGGTCCGGGCTTTGGTATTTACTCTACAGTTCTGAAGGTAAGCCTCAGGTTAGGCCAGGTAAGGAACCTTTGTGATAGAGAGCTCAGGATGGTGTGGGATTCTCTGGAGGAGGCCCCTCTGAAGGGAACGTTTGAGCTGAGAAGGAGCCAACCATGTGAAAGGTGGGGAGAGGAGCGTGCCAGGCAGAAGGAACAGCGAGGGCAGTGGCCCTGAGGAAGGCAGTCCAAGGTGGAGACTGAGCTCCCTAAGACCCACTGTCCCAGGGAGCAGCCCAACTCTTCTTGGCCTTCTGCCTTCTCCCTTGGGACTGACAGGCCAGGCTCACCCAAGTCTTGGCATACAGTCCCTTGTAGGACCTTGGTAGCGCCGGGCCTGGGGAGGCGACTGCTGCATGCTTTCTGGGCCTTGGACTCAGTGGCTTGGCACAGACTAGGTGGGGGTGATCATGTGAGCCTGCCCACTGCCACACCACTTGCTCGCCATCTGCTTGGGAAAATCCTCTTCCCTCTTCTGCTGTTGCTGGTGATGTGACAGAAAGGAACTGGGGCCTCTGTTGTGGACCCTCTCCAACGCCAGAGCCTCAGGCCCATCTCCAACAGCTGGAAGGCATGGGCCATGTCTGTCTGGTTCCCTTCTCAGCTAAGTGGCCAGTCAGTGGTTTCTTGGAGGGGCCAGAGGGAGTACAGTTTGGGCCAGTATCTGGGTTTATCCTAAACCATAACAACACAGGGCCCCTTTCTGAAAGTCAGCGTGGAATGGAAACTGTAACACTAATTCTCACTCACATTGCTGAGCACACTTTCTATTCCAGGCCTTATGCTAAGTGTTTTATATTCATGATCACATATCATGTTCACAACAATCCTATGAGATTGGTGTGACTGTTATTACCCTCATTTTTACAGACAGGAAAGACAGACTTAAAAAGTGAGGTAATATGGCCAAGATCACACAGCAGTAAGTGAATTGGGGAACAAGCAGCTGAACCCAGGCATCCAGCCCAAAGTTAGTGCTGGGAGCCTCTATGTGGGACCACTTAGTCTGCCCCTCTCAAAACACGTGTCCTGGGGGCATGCAGATGGGAGTGCACATTCTAAGTTTGCTGCTGTGTTCCTTGAGGAAATGTCTAGTTCTCACTGAGCCTTGTTTTTACCACTTATGACATGGAAATGATATGACCTACCCTACGGGGAATTAGTTAATGGTTAGAAATCTTCTATATGTAAGACACCTAGCATGTAATGGCAGCTCCACAAATAATAGCGATGATGATAAATGATGATGCCTGGGGTGTGAGGCAGGGCTGAATGTGAGTGACTAAAATACTTTTTTCGGTCTTTGGTTGATGCCAAATAGTTCCAGAGGTGCATATGTGGGAGTGGTGGTGGCTAACAGATGGACCATGAAGGGCAGGACAAAAAACCCTGAGAAGGTCAAGCAAGACCTCTCCAGCCCCTGCTCTGGCTGGAGTGTACCAGTGACTTCAGGTCAAACCCTCCCAACAGTGGGGTTACTGGTGGAGGTGGTGGCATCTCCTGCAGCCCTCTACGCCAAGCACAGAAATCCAGGAGGCAAAGCCTAGTGCTTGATGACATGGTAATTGGGCCTGGAGGTGGGGATTTCTGTCACTTACATCTCCTTGAAAAATAATCACCATTGCCAGTGCCTGGCTAATTAGCCTGAATCAGTTCTCTTCAGCCTCACTTTGCTCAAATCTACCAGACTTATGATGCTTCTTGGTCCTCCACCACACTGTCTATTCCTCACCCCACTTTGTGTGTGTGTGTGTGTGTGTGTGTGTGCACACGCATGCATGTGTGTAGGCCATGGCCAGGGCTCCTGACTGGCTTCCTTTAAAACAGGTGTCCCCAACCCCTGGGCCATGGACCACAGACCGGTATCAGTCCATGGCCTGCTAAGAATCAGGCTGGACAGCAGGGAGTGAGCAGACAGGGAGGAGCATTACCACCTGAGCTCCGCCTTCTGTCAGGTCAATGGTGGCTCTGGATTCTCCTAGGAGCCAGAACCCTATTGTGAACTGCGCATGCGAAGGATCTAGGTTGCTCACTCCTTAGGAAAATCCAGCTAATGCCTGATGATCTGAGGTGGAACAGTTTCATCCTGAATCCATGCCCCTAGTTCCATGGGAAAACTGTCTTCCATGAAACTGGTCCCTGGTGCCAAAAAGGTTGGGAATCACTGCTTTAAAAGACACGGGGAACAGCTACCCTCATTGGAAACCTCTTTCTGAGATGGGACCAGGAGGGCTGCTCTAAGACCTTACTACTCAAAGCATGGTCCTTGGACTAGTGGCACTGGCATGTCCTGGAAGCTGGTAAAAAATGCATGCTCTCAGGCCTGACATCAGATCTAATGAACTAGAACTTGCATTTTAATAAGCTCTCCAGGTGATTCTTATGCATACAAAAGTTTGAGAAGCATTGCTCTGAGACATCAAACATGCATTCCTGAAACTAAATGGCTGAAAAAGAAACAGCGAACAGATATATTTTATTTCCCCAAATCTTAAAATAGTGGCAATATAATGACCCTTCATGAAGTCCGTACTGAATCCTGGCACTGAGGTAGCCACTTTTCTTCCTTTCAACAGCGCTGCATGTGAGTATTCTCAGCTACAGGTGCGGAAAGTGAGCCTTAGGGGGAATCTGACTTGTGAGTGGTTGTGGGTGTACAGACTTTCTCCCAAGAGATAGCTGAGTTTTGGTTGTAGCTCATGCACTTCCTAAGTGTGACAGCTTGGGTAAATTATTTGATCTTTATGAACCTTAGTTTTTTCATGTATCAGAAGAGGATAATAAAACTTATTTCACAGGGTGATTAAGAGTGCTACAAGAGATAATGTGTTTAAGCTGCTTCAGAAAGGCCTGGCATTAGAGTAGATTAAGAGTAGCTGGTACCAAATGTTACACAGTGGTTCCTGTGCTTCTTTGTACTATTGTGGCTTCCCAAGGTCACTTGGCTAGTCGATGGAAAAATGGAGATATCTGGACATAGGTAGATAAATGCCTGAACTTTGAGCTTGGTTTTGTGGGTGTCTGGGGATTTCCGTCAACTTAGCCACTCATACAGAACTACTACCTCAGTCACTCTGATTGGGTGGGCCTCTAACCCTGGCAAGAAGGAAAGCAGGAGGGATAGACTCAGCACAGAGAATGTAATGCAGTCCTCAGTTAAAGGATCCCTTGGGTTCCACCTGCCCCATTTTACAGCTGAGGAAACTGAGGTGAAGAGAAGAGTGGGATCTGTCCAAGGTCATGCATCACGTAAGCACAGGCTCCAGAAGGTCCTGCTTGGTGTTCTTCCTATGGCTACACTCTACTTTTCTCTCTCCTAGAAATTCAGACAGGTCCTAGATGGTCAGGGATCCTCAACCTCAGCCCCTGCAATAACTGCACTTGCCAACAGGCATTGAGTGCAGTGACCAGGAGCACAGCTTCTGGAGTCAGCTGGCTCTGAGCTTTGAATCCCAACTCCCTTATCTACCATGCTCAGTTTTCTTTAACTGTAAAGTGAGGGACACATTAGGAACTGTATTCTAGGGCTCTGATAAGGAATATGCAAGATAATACAGGGACCTTATTTAATTTCCTGTCAGTACATAGTAGGTGCTCAATAAATGCTGGCTCTGACATCACTGTTATTGTCATCATCATCATCATCTGTACCACCAGCACCATCGCCATCATCAGCACCATCACCATGGTCTCCATTATCACCATTGTCACCTTTGTCATCATCTGTCATCATCGATATCATCACCATCATCATCATATTAACCATCACCATCAACATCATGTACCCTAGACCTGCCTGGGCTCAACACTTTCCTCAGGGTCAAAATCTCTGTTCAAATTCTTCTAAAATCAACATGATGTTCAGAATCCGAGAACAAAGTTCAAAAAAGTGGCCTTATCCTGCAGTAGCCCTGCAGACACTCTGCTCTGACACCGACAGTCAGGTCATGCTTCACAGTGCAGTCAAGTGTAGTTGGAAGAAGCCTGGACTTGAAACCCAGCTCTACTACTTTCAGACTCAGGCCTGTTTTAAAGAGAAGCAAGCGAGAATCAGAAAGTGAAACACTTTACCTTATCTTTAGAATAGGGATGATACTACCTATCTCATAAGCTGACTATAAAAATTAGAGAAGAAAATAAATGCCTAAGCTCCAGATGAGGGCGTGGCCTTTATTGATGATTCAAAACAGAACCATGTATGGAATTGAGAATGTTACAAATGCAGTCACAGTTCTAGGAGAATGACTGAAGTTCCTTGGCAGTTCACAGAGCCACAGACTGGTAATTCTGGATGAAACCAGCAACATACCGCCTGTTACCGATGGCCTATGCCACACCCAGGTATGAGAGACCACCATGCAAGGGTAAAGGTAAAAGGCAGCAGTGTGCCAGCTTATTGAGTGCCTACTGAATGACAGGTAACATCCTAGGTGTATTGCACACATTACTGTACATTTGATTCTCGTGGCAAACCTGAGAGACAGGTCCTGGTTTACAGCTGGGAAGACACTTGAAATTACTAGCCATGGCCACGCGGCTAATGACAAAGCTGGAATCCACAAAAGCTGCCTCTCTGTGTAATTGCACAGTCTGAGTTTTCTCTGCTGAATCCATAAAAGGGAGTTTCAGAGGATCCACACATCCTGAGTGTGTCAGCTGTTAATCTCTATTATTCCCTGCTATTAATAATAATTTTGTATGTGGGCACCTGTGACTGTGCATCAATCACATTCTCAGTTCCATACATCGTACAGTTCTCTTCTGAAGCGTCAATAAAGGTTAGGCACTCACCTGGGCCTTACACATTTATTCTCTTCTCTAATTTTTACAATCAGCTTATGAGATGAGGGTGCATGGGTCTGGGCCTCAGTGGTAAGTGTAAGGCTTTGGAGGTGGCTGGCTTCAGAGAATCCTTCGACTCTCTTGTCCTAGGCCCATAGGTGGCACTCTGACACTATCTGCTAGAAGCACAGCTATAGTCTAGAAATATATCAGGTAGTCCCATTCCCCAGAGTGAGGCTGCCTCTAAGCCTGTCACTACACACACACATTCCCACTGGGGACAGAGTTCTGGAGATGCCAGCTCACTCTCACTCCACCTGCATCAGATGTGTGCATTAGATGGGCTGCGGGGCTGTCCTGAAACTCTGAGCTTGCCCCGTTCCTTTGAATGGGTTCCCTGGGAAGGCTGGAACCTGGGAGGGCCCTGCAGAAGAGGATGGAGCCACTGCGTTGCTGATTCCAGTGAAGCGTAAGGAAGGGCTCAACTATACAGGAAACCCTCCAGGGGAGAAGGACTGGGTTCTGGAATCACACAGTCTGGGTCTTAATCGCAGCCCTACTGCTTACAAGCTTTGGACATTGAGTTGAACTCTTCACAGACTGAGGTCCAGTCTCCAAATCTGTAGAAAGGGAATTAATGAGACCTTCTTCTTAGGTTTGCTGGAGGTGTTTGAAAAGGTGAGTAAAATGCCAAGCACAGTACTTGGCACAGTCTATACTCTGTAGGTGCTGGTGAGAGGCACATGGTCGATAGCCACAGGGTTCAGCAGGGGGGCACGACGCTGTTCTGTGGGTGAGAGGCACGTGCTGGGTGAGAAGAGAGAGAAGGACTGTCTGGGAGGTAGCCTGGATTTCTGGGGAAGACAGAGGGGAGAACTGGGATCTCCATCCTCTTGCTGGCTGACCTTAGCCTGTCAATCTTTTGGGTGAGCTTGGCAGCCCCTAGGCCTTTCAATGCCCCTTGGTATCTGCATCAAACTAGAACCAGCACTTTCAAGGCTGGTTGCTCTGAGGGTGGGTTTTGACTGGGACATGGTGGGGTGGAGGTTCTAGAAATCCCCTCAGAAGGGAAGTTGGGAGAATGGGTTCAAGGGATGCCTCTACTTGGAAACACTTTCAGTCTCTGAGACTTAATTTCCACATGTTTCACAAAGAAAATACAAATGTTACATTTTCTCTTTCTCTCCCGGCAGCCTTGCCAAGACCATATGGGGTCCTCTCTGATTGGCAGCTCCCACCAGTTCAGAGAACAGGAGTGTTCCTGGCAAATGCTGCTTTGGGGTGGTGACCTGTGCAATGGACTCATCCAAGCTGTCCCTTGTTGAAGGGTGAGTATGTAGGGCTTGGTGCCCTTTTCTAGGGTCAAGGGTAAAGGAGGAGACTGAGGCGTGAAGGCAGGGGTGGGGCCTCCCAGCATACCTTGTAGCTGTAGGGGCAGGCACAGCGGTACAGCTCCACAGGGTCCTGGGTGCACGTCCCGTTGTTCTTGCACGGGCCAGAGAGGCAGGCATTGCATTTGGCCGCGATGTTGATGTCCACTGGCCCTAGGCAGCAAAACCACAGAGTACTGACGGCAGGTCCTGAGTGTGCTCACTGCCACACCTCCCTTCCCCTCTGCTCTGGGCTCTCCCTCAGCCAGTGCCAACTCCTCCCCAACACCATGCTTAGATAGCAGCTGGCTCTCCCCAGCCAGCACATCCAGTCCAGCTAAACTCCCATTAATTCAGCCATTGTCCGGTGAGGAAAAATCACAGTGGGACATCATTCAGAAACACTTCTGCAGTCAAATCAATTACTGTAATTAGCCTGATCCGATTTTGGTGCTAATCGGCAAACAATGCACCATAATTAGAAACCCCCTGTGTATCTTTTTGTATTCCAGGAAGCTCTGGGCCCAGGCTCCATTAGGACCTCCCATTTTTCTACCTGAAAACATCCCTCCCTATGGAATAGTCTGTGCCAGCCTAAGCAGGGCACAGTGCTGGGGCCTAAGGCACACAGAGGAAGCCCCCCCCCCGAAAACCTTGGAAGTAAGAAATGGATGGCCCCAGAGGACACAGCGATGATGCTGCCAATGGCTGGAGAACTGCTCAGGTACATGTTTCATCTGTGACTATTTCAGCTGAGTCCCGCTTGCTTTAGCTGCAAGCACTGGAGGAAGGTCAGGGTTCTTCCCAGAGCTTTGCAAAGGGTGCTGTGTCCTGCTGCTGCAGCCAGCTTTGACAGTGAGCCCTGGATCAACAGGCCCTGCTTAATGTCAGGACTGTAAATGACCTTGGGGCTAACAGTCACCAACCTGGAGATGGGCTGAGATGAACTTCAGTGAGTGACCATTTGTGGATGAGTAAACAGAGTGGCCTGATTAGGAGCTGGTATGGGGGACTCAACCACAGCTCCACATTAGAATTGGAAGACTATCTGTCCCGGTTTGCCTGGGGCTAAGCAGGTGTGCAGGACACAGCTTTCAATGCTAAAATCAAGAACAGCCCAGACAAAACCCAGTTGACTTGGCTGCCTTATGCTAGAACCAGCTGCACTGCTTTTTTTTGGAAGTGGAGTCTCATTCTGTTGCCCAGGCAGGAGTGCCATGGTGCAATCTCAGCTCACTGTAATCTCCACCTCCTGGGTTCAAGTGATTCTCCTGCCTCAGACTTCTGAGTAGCTGGGATAACAGGCATGCACCACACCTGGCTCATTTTTGTATTTTTAGTAGAGATGGGGTTTCCCCATGTTGGCCAGGCTGCTCTTGACCTCCTGACCTCAAGTGATCTACCTGCCTTGGCCTCCCAAAGTGTGGGGATTACAGGCGTGAGCCGTTGGTGCCCCCCCACCAACTGCAGTGCTTTTAAACATCCCCACACCCAGGTTGTACCCCAGACCAATTTAATCAAAACCTAGAGGGTGGAGCCAGGCTTCAGTAATTCCAAAAGCTCCTGTATGATTTCTAAAATGTGCAGCCAAGATTGAGACCCATACTGTTCTTGGCCTAGTATCAGATCAGATATCTTAGAAGCAGGAAGAGGAAAATTAAAATTAGCTTCAAGCCAATAGAATGTTTTTCTGCTTGCAGCAGAAGTGTGGGACACACTAAAATTTGAGAGGGTAATCGAAGTATATCTACATATCAAAATAAATATTAAGCCTCTCAGAGATGAGCAAAAGAGACTAACAGATGTATATGTCAAAAATTCAGGTTCCCCAGTAATCAGACAAAATACAAGTTTTCTTGTTTAACTTACTGAATTAGCAATGATGATAAAATAAGAGAAAATAATGAAAGGGTCCAGTGAAAATGCAATCAAAGAATGCAACTGAGAATGTAAGTTGTTATAACCCTTTTTGAAAATCAGTTTGGCAAAAGGTGTGAAGACCTTAAAAAATAGTAATATACTTTGATTCAGTAATTTCTGTTCTCTGAATCTTGTCTGAGGATATGATTTCAAATAGAGAAAGTGTCAATGGTTAAAATACTCTAAAGATTCAAAACCAGAAATGGATTAAGTGGCAGTGGAATATCAGCTTGGTGATCAAGATTGTGTATTCTGTAATTAGTTAGAATACATTTAACCTGTTAAGCCTCATTTTCTCATTTTTAGAAATGAGGATAATATTAAAAGTTGATCACGTAGAGGAAATAGGTAATTAAGTAAGTTGATACATGAAGAATGAAGAAAAACGGTGGGGCATGGGCTTATGCCTGTAATCCCAGCACTTTGGGAGGCCGAGGCAGGTGGATCACGAGGTCAAGAGATCGAGACCATCCTGGCCAACATGGTGAAACTCCGTCTCTACTAAAAATACAAAAATTAGCTGGGCATGGTGGTGCACGCCTGTAGTCCCAGCTACTTGGGAGGTTGAGGCAAGAGAATCGCTTGAACCTGGGAGGCGGAGGTTGCAGTGAGCCGAGATCATGCCACTGAACTCCAGCCTGGCAACAGAGTGAGACTCCATCTCAAAAAAAAAAAAAGAGAAAAAAAATACACGAGAAAGTGCTTAACATCATTCCTGTTGCATAAGAACTCAGTAGTAGTTTGTTGTTATAATAATAATATGATCAATAAAAAAATCACAGGTACAAAAAGTTTGCTGTAGTAAAATGGGAAAATGCTTATGTTCTCATCATGCGTCAGCATCTGAGCCTCTCTGTGAGACCCATGGAAGAGACAGGGTGAAGGTTTCTGAAGCCACAACTGTTGAGATGCCGTGCTCCGACAGGTTGCTGGGGACATAGCAAACCCCACGAGGGGCAGGGGAGGGTAGGGTGTGGGCAGCACCTACCTTTGCACTGGAAGCGGTGGGTTGGGGTGGTGAGCAAGAGTCTGTCGGCCATGGGCTCAGGGCTACTGCAGCGGGCAATGCCAGGCTCCTTGTACCCCGCCTTCACCCACTCCGACAGCCACCGAAGACTGCAGTCACAGTGGAGAGGGTTGGTTCCCAGCGCCCTAGGAGGCAGAACAGGAAGTCAGGGCCCCCTGCCCAGCGTGGCCCCTAGGCTTCCTATCTTCCCATCTCTGGAAATGCATTTTCAGACTTTGGCTAGACTAGAGGTGTCCGATATGGGGCCAGTAGAGGAGTAGTCTCCATTGTGGCAAAGTTAGTACCTCCAGAGTGTACTTCCAATCCTGTGGACGTTTCAATTCCCATCCAAGCCCCTTCCACTTCTGAGGCATGGCTCTCACCTAGGCAGGTAAGACTCACTCCTTAACTCAACCTCACCAAGGCCCTTAGGGAGCTTCCTGGATCTCTGGCCATCTGATTATCTGGTTCCCTTGCTCTATTGAAGGGTCCACTGGAGAACATACTCTGCATAGAAGGTTCTGAAACCCCGCAGCCTAGGAAGCATTGTCAGACCACTTGGCTGAAGGATGCAGGGGAGGAGGGTTAAGTCCAGCACAGACACCTCCAAAGTTGTGATTGGGAAGAAAATACTAGAAATTCTGTTTTTCACAAAAAATTATATCCTTTAACAATTCTAGTTTTGAATGTTTTAGAATATGCATACATTGTATATCCATATAATGGTATATGCACACATTATGAAAATAATTAAATAAGCATATAGAAGGAATACAAACTCGAAAATGTTCACTGACAGAGGTGCATAAAACAATGCAGAGATCCCTGATCTGGGGAAGAGAGATCTGGCCTGGAGTGAGGGAACCCAGATTCTAGCCTAACATCTCACTGACTTGACAGGCAATCTTCAGCTAGTCACCTAGCAATTATGGGCCTCTATTTCCTTTGTGTAAAATAGGAGGGGAATACCTGTTGCAGAGTGCAGAGTGGTTAAGAATATGTGCTTTGGAGTCAAGGCAAACCTGGATCTGATACTGGGCCCTGCTATTTGCTAGCTGTGCCACGCTTAGACAAAGTCTTTTTTTTTGAGACTGAGTTTCTCTTTGTTGCCCAGGCTGGAGTGCAGTGTAATGATCTCAGCTCACCGCAACCTTCGCCTCCCGGGTTCAAGTGATTTGGCAGGCCTTAGCCTACCGAGTAGCTGAGATTACAGGCACCTACGACGCCCGGCTAATTTTGGTCATTTTAGTAGAGACCGGGTTTCACCATGTTGGCCAAGCTGGTCTCAAATGCCTGACCTCATGTGATTCCCCCCACCTTGGCCTCCCAAAGTGCTGGGATTACAGACATGAGCCACTGCACCCAGCTGACAAATTCTTTAACCTTTCTAAGTCTCAATGTTATTATATATAATAAAGGGATAAAAAATGCCTTATAGCTATAAGAAATAAACAGAAAATTTATCTAAAGTGTTTAGCACATAGTACATGTTTTCTATTAGTTCTTATTAAATATTTACATTGTTTACATAATTGAGGATGCCTTTGAAGGCATCTGAGTCAGGGAACAAGACAATATGCAGAGTGTGGGTACACTGTTGTAATATATACTGTATGCATAAGGAAAGGACATATACCAAAATGCTGACAGGGATGACATTGTCGCTGACACTTTTCATGCTTTCCTGTTTTGAATGCGCATTGGGGAGAAATACTGCTACTTACAGATGGGAAAGAGATGTGAGGTCGCTGAAGGAGCCTTCAGGAACGCTGGAAATGTCGTTGCCATGGAGGGTTCTGAAGAGAGGGCACAGGTGGGAAGGTTAGCACCCAGTAATTTGAACTCAGCACATTCTTAGGGCCTCCAGTGCCCGGCCCTGCCACGCTTCACCTTTGCTCAGAGCCCCAGTGCTCCCAGCAGTAGCTGCCACCCCCTTTGCTATGGGTGCATGAATGTTCTGTGCCCAGCTCGGCAGCAAGGATGGAGGGAGTAGAGAGTTTAGGGAAGAAGGGGATGGATTTTTCAGTCTGACAGACCTGAGGTGAAATCAAAAATCAGTCTCTTTTAGTTGTGGAATGCTGGATAAGTTATATCACTTTTCTGGGCCTTCATTTTTGCAGCTGAAAAATGAAGCGACATATCTACCCAAGGGCGTCACTGGAGTTTCAGAGATCATGTGAAGAGCTGTGCTTAAGACCGGAAGTTCTGGAGGCAGGCTGCTTGCAGTCAAACCTGACTTGGTCACTGACCAGCTGTGCAACGGAAGGCAAAGCAATGTACGCTCTCTGTGCCTCAGCCTCTATTGTAAAACAGGTACGAGAATAAAAGGGCTTGACAAGAAAGTTGTCATGGGTGTGTTAATCCATGTAGAGAGAGCCAGCATTTTCTAAGTGCTAAATGATTGCTCACTATTAATATTTCCGGAAGAGGCTTCGAGGGTATCTGGTATCAAAGAGCTCAGTAATTTGGTTCCCTTCCTATTTACCCAGAGACCTTAGGTGGGTTGAGAAATGCTACCATTCCAGCTTCGGTGACAGAAGGAGGGGGTCCTTAGCTCCCGAGGAGAGTCTCTGAAGCCGAACACTCATTGTTATGGGAAAAGCTTCGGCATCAGCCACACACAATACATGAGTCTGGCACTTGCGTGCACCTGAGAGCATCTTCCCACAGCATGTCGGAAGGGCCAGGCACCCCGCTTGGTATTAATCATGCTTCATTCCACCCTGTGGAGTAGGCAGCTAGGAGCTATTCTCATTTACACAGTGGTGCCATATAGTAAGCCTTCCACAAACGCCTGGAGGATAAGTGCATGAAAAACTCAATGAACACTGCTCCGCTTTCAAGTAACAACATGAGCAGATCCACAATTCCTGGACTATATTCTCCATTGAAGGCTTAACCATCAACTGCATTAAAAGAATCTGCAAATTCATAGAAATTCAAAGGCTTCCTTAGTGACTGATGGGCACCATCACCTGTGCTGGCGATAAGCACCCTTAAGGGTAAGGACTAACAACTTTATTGCAGGCAGGGAGTCCTAGTGGAACAAAGAGACGATTAGTGTTGACAGTGGAAGTACAGATGGAATAATAACGAATGAATTTGCTCCTCTTCCCCTTTTAACTGAAGTTAGCTTCCCCTTGGTCTTCAGCTGAAATAGACACATGAGCCTAATTACTCTTGATAGAGAACAGTGGCTCTCACACCAAGTGAGCTATAGAAGCTACTAAATATGCAGATTCCTGAGCCCCACTTCCAGAGATTCTGATTCAATGGGTCTGGGGTGGGGCCTGAGATTCTGCATTTCTGACAAACTCTGAGGTGCTGCTGACACCAGTAGCAAGGGTTTAGAAAGGTTTTTCCTATTGCTTTAAGGCAAGGGCCTTACTTCTCTCCTCCTCCCGTGTAATCTCCTCTTCTCTTTCTCCTTAGTTACCCTGGGTTGTCATCCTCATCACCACCAGCTCCTTCTCATCCCACCTCACAGCTCTCTGGTGAAATTCTCAGGGTGAAAGTCAGCTTCAATTCTTAGGCAGCTCGGATAGCAAGAAGATGGCAAACAGCCATCCAGAGTGTTCATGGTAGCTTCTTACCTCCCCAGGTAAGGAGAAGGGAGAAGCACTTCCTAATACTTTTATCAACATCATTCAGCCTCCAATTTATCAGGTTATTTATGAAAAACACCAGCCTCTGCCTGCTATTGACTTGGATGGCCTCAGGGCGGCTTGCTGTTTTGCATATGCACCCAGGTTCATTGTTGTCATTTCCAAATGAGGCCTGCCCACCTGGAGAGGCATAAGGCCTAATTTTAAAACACTAAAGGACCCAGAGGCAGCTTTGGCATTGTGACACCTGCAAGACAGGCTCCATTCTCTACGAAAAATACAAAAATTAGCTGGGGCATGGTGGCAGGCACTTGTAATCAAAGCTACTCAGGAGGCTGAGGCAGGAGAATTGCTTGAACCCGGGAGGCAGAGGTTGCAGGGAGCTGAGATAGTGCCACTGCACTCCAGCCTGGGCAACAAGAGTGAAACTCTGTCTCAAACCAGCAACCTGCAGAGTAACAGCATTGTAACTTACTAGGACAACTCATTAAATCTGCCTATACTGCATGTTCTCCGTCCTGGTTTGGCCCCCAAAGAAGTACTCTTGCCTGTCAAACAACCATCCTAAAGGATGCCAGTGAGGTGGATGAATGACTGCTCCTTTCCCTTTCACTCCCTTCTCCCCCATGCCTCCCAGGGGCTGGACTGGCAAGCAGCTGTCAATTCCTAGTGACTCCTTTTCAAGCACGTGGAACTCCTCCTCCTCTCCTAACTCTTAAGGGAGGTTAAAGGCAAAATTAAGAATTTCAGAATGCAGACCATCATCAGGGCAACATTAGGGCATAACCATTCCTCAGTTCTGAGCTGTAATCCCTAGGTCCTACGGTTTATACAATGAACAGCGGGAACTATCCTCATTCTAAATGTGGGTAGGAGTGAGTGAATTCTCTTCTGAGCAGGCTATTTCCGGGTGATCTGGGGGTTAAGAACTTAAGGCTCTGGAGTCAGATTGCCTGGGTGTAAATCCCTCCTCTGATACTGGCTGTGTGAGCTGAGACAATTGACTTAATCTTTTGGTTTCTCAGATTTTTCACTTCTGGAATAGAAGAATTCTTAGTAACTACATATAGTAGACATCTGTAGGTGGTGTGGGCTTCTTAGCATCAGTGTTCTTTTCTGTAGCGGTTCCTCTGTTTTCTACTGGGAATCCACCCTTCCTACCTCTTAGTCCCAGTGGGTTGGCCTCTGGGTGAAGCTGTGGCTTAGGTCTGGCCATTCAGAGTCACAGTGATCAGTTTGAGGTTGAGCATGTAACCTAAGGGGACCAAGGAGAGTCACTTCCCGGGCTTTCTCTGGAACTACTAGGGCAGAAACAGTTTCATTTTGTGGGGCTGCTAGGTTGCCACAATGTAAACCTTCAGCCCATCAGATCCTCTGTGTCTTAAATAGAGAAAAACTGCCTGAGAATGAAATCCACTCAGGAAAGCAGGGCTGAAGAGGCAGACACACATTTCTTTTTATGATTATTTTTTGAGACAGTGTCTCACTTTGTTGCCCAGGTTGAAGGGAAGTGGTGTGATCTTGGCTCACTGCAACCTCCGCCTCTTGGGTTCAAGCGATTCTACTGCCTCAGCCTCCCGAGTAGCTGGGATTACAGATGTGCACCATCATGCCTGCCTAATTTTTGTATTTTTATTAGAGATGGGGTTTTGGCATCTTGGTCAGGCTGGTCTTGAACTCCGGACCTCAGCGGATCCACTTGCCTTGGCCTCCCAGCCCAAAGTGCTGGGATTACAGGCATGAGCCACTGCGCCCAGCCTACTCATTTCTGACAGTATCATTGCAGCCCCTGCATCCAGCCCTAGAGCCCAGTTTCTTCCACTGCATTCTTCAGTTATCTGAGTTGATAAATTCTCTTTATGCTTAACGTGGTTTGAGCTGATTTGCTTTCTCTACGCCCAGGAGGAGAGCTAATATACCACTTCATAAGCTAGCTGTGAGGATTAAAAGAGAGGATGTCAGTGGTTAGAAGCACTCAGTCACATTAGCTATGATGATTATTATCATTGTCATGACTCCTCCTCTAGTTTTTGAATGGATTTTGGGGCCAGTCTTCTGGGAGCTACCCACATAGTGTAGAAGCCTGAAAATGTGCATCTCTGGATGAGGAAGAAAACACCTCATTTTTACATACGCGGGCTCCCTCCAGTCTGAAACGGGTGCAGATAAAAACAGATGCTAGCCTGCGATGGGGAAGCAGGTAGAATGTGGTAGAAAGAGCACTGGGCTAGGAGCCCAGAGAGGAGTTCCAGCCCCGGTTCTGCCTGTGCCTTGGGGCTACTCAGCAGCATCTCTTCCCACTCTTGCCCCCAGAAGCCACATTGCAGCCACACCTGTAGCTTCTTGTGATTCCCCCAATGCCCATGCCTTTCCTGACTTCAGGGTCTCTGTCCAGGGCATTTACATTCTCCCGGCCTAGAATGTTCTTCCCTCCCATCCCTACTTAGGTAACCACTTCTGGTTTCTCAGTCTCAGTCTTGGAAGCACAAGAAGAGTGATTCGGAAAGCAAACAGTCTTGGAGTTAAATTCCAACTTTAGCCGGGCGCAGTGGCTCACACCTGTAATCCCAGCACTTTGGGAGGCCGAGCTGGGCAGATCATGAGGTCAGGAGTTCAAGACTAGCCTGATCAACATGGTGAAACCCCGTCTTTACTAAAATTACAAAAATTAGCTGGGCATGGTGGCACGTGACTGTAATCCCAGCTACTCGGGAGGCTGAGGCAGGAGAATTGCTTGAACCCGGGAGGTATGGAGGTTGCAGTGAGCCAAGTTTGTGCCACTGCATTCCAGCCTGGGTGACAGAGCAAGACTCCATCTGAAAAAAAAAAAAAAATTTCCAACTTTACTGCCAACTGATTGCATCACTTTGGGCAAGTTACTTAATCTCATTCAGCCTCTGTTTGCTGATCTGTGAAATGGGGATAATAGAGGTATATCCTTCACAAGGTAGAGGGTAATTAAGATAATGTAACTAAAGCACTTAGCCCTGTGTGCTGTGCATAGCCATGGTTTGATGAATGTCAGTGGTGATTATTAACTTTCCTTTCAGCAGCCTTTTGTGTGGCCAAGACTGGGTTACCTGCTTCTCACTTGCATTCCCATGACCCCATGACTCTTCTCTCAGGTACCACCCTGTATTGTAGTTGCTTATTTACTTGTTTGTTTCCGCTTCTAGACTAAGAGCTCCCCGAGGACAGCAACTGTGTCTCATTCACTGTTTTCTTTCCCCCATCCAGAGTTAAGCACAGCAACTAACCCATGGCAGGCACTCAGGAAAGGATGAATAACAGAATGATCTTTAACAAGTCACTAAACCTTTCTGAATCGGTCTTTTCTTCTTATCAAAGAAAGGTTTGACCAGAAGAAAGTCCAATATTCACGCTTCATTCCTAAATTCTGCGATTAAACTTTTGCTTACTTGTTTTTATTTTAGAGAAGTTAAAGTGCCATCCCTGGACCATGGATGGGAGGTCACAATGAGTCACCTTCTGGCTCAGCAGAAGAATTTTCTAATGCTCTAATAGCTGGTCAAAAGCAGAGTAGGGTTGGCTGGTAAGGGAGTGAACTCTGCATCTCAGAAGGTAATTGAGCAAAGGCCTCCCTTACAGGGATGTTTTAAGCGGAATTCAGGCAATTGGCAGAGCAGTGATGAACAGCCCCATGTGTATAAACAGCACAATCGTACTTCAGGGACTAGGAGCTAAAAATACTCCTAGTATTTTTAGGAGTATTTTGAGGATTGTGAATGATAAAAGATAGTGAATGATAATCCCACTGGCTCTTTCGTGAGCACACACTGAAATTGCCTGCCCAGAGCTAACCGATTCCAGGTGGCTCTCATTTGGCTGAGGCTGGGGAGAGACAATTGAGACCACACGCACACAAGGCATGTGACTTGGTGTGGGGCAAAGATCAGGGAATGCATGGATCCCCAAAGGAGGACGAGGATGTCCACAAGAATGTTCTCTTCTCGCTATTTTCAGATTTGGAGCCAAGTAGAAAAAGCATTTTTCATACAATGTTTTGTACTCAGGGCTTCCTGACCACTCTCTTGAAATGTATTTATATCCACCCATCAACACACACACACACACACACACACACACACACACACACACACTCTCTCTCTCTCTCTCTCTCTCTCTCTCTCTCTCTCTCTCACTCTCTCTCTCTCTCTCCCCCTCTCTCTTAAATGTCATCTTCCTGGTTTCCAGACCACTTTTTGGCCTTTGTGCCAAAACTAAACCTTGAAGTTCATTCTTCTTCCTGCTACAAACACCCAACATCTCTGGGTCTCTGGTCATTTCTGAAAGTTTAATTAAAAGAATGAAACCCGGCTAGGTGCAGTGGCTCATGCCTGTAATCCCAGCACTTTGGGAGGCTAAGGCAGGCAGATCACAAGGTCAGGAGTTCGAGACCAGCCTAATCAACATGGTGAAACCCCACCCCAACTAAAAATACAAAAATTAGCTGGGCGTGGTGGCACATGCCTGTAATCCCAGCTACTCAGGAGGCTGAGGCAGGAGAATCTCTTGAACCTGGGAGGCAGAAGTTGTAGTAAGCTGAAATCATGCCATTGCACTCCAGCCTGAGCAACAAGAGCGAGACTCTGTGCCAAAAAAAAAAAAGAATGAAACCCTTTAGAAATGAGGAAAGAATATACAAATGTTCAAATGCAGTTGCAGATAATATAATTTGATTTTAAAAAGCCAATCTTTTTTCCAACTACCTAAATTATAAATATAACCATCTTCATTCATCTTTATTGATTTATTATTATTTTTTGAAACAAGGTCTTGCTCTGTGTTACCCAGGCTGGAGTGCAATGGCTCAGTCACTGCTCACTGCAGCCTTCACCTGCCTGCCTCAATTGATCCTCCCACCTCAGCCTCCCGAGTAGCTGGGACTACAGGCACATACCACCATGGCTAGCTAATTTTTGTATTTTTAGTAGACAGAGATGGGGTTTCACCATATTGGTCAGGCTGGTCTTGAACTCTTGACTTGAGGTGATCCATCTGCCTTGGCTTCCCAAAGTGCTGAGATTACAGGCGTGAGCTATCACACCCGGCCTTCATTCATCTTTAACTTTGTCTTCATTTTTTATAGAAACGACTTTATATAAACGTTAACTATCACAAATTTTTTTATTTGCTCTCTTATAGTCTTTCTTCATAGGTCTAAATGTTTAGAAGTTATAATTGTAACATATATACAAGTTAGGTTTATTTCCCCCTGTAACGCTATGCAGTGAACACTTTCCCACATTGCTATCTAGTTTTCATCCTTGCCTCTTTTAATAATTGCACTTCATTGACTGGTTGCCTCACGGTTTCCTTAAACATTTCTCTACTGTGGCCCTTGTAATATTTAAAATGTAGGTTGAAAATAACAGTACAACAAAGATTTTAATGCACAGAGCCTTTCCCTTATTTTGGATGATTCTTTAGCCTAAATTCCTGGGTGTATAATTAGTGGGAGAAAGGATACAAATATCATAAAAGAAATGTAGCCCATAAACATTTTTACTTTTCCTGAATTGGCCCTTATGCAGAAAATGATTGCTCCCCACTGACATAGGTGGTTGGACTGTGGTGCTGGAAGATCCCTTTTTATGCACAAGATCTCATATTCTAAAACGAGGATGCTAAAAGCCTACTAATTCTCATTTTTTTTTTTTTTAAGACAGGGTCTGACTCTGTCACCCAGGCTGGAATGCAATGGCATGATGTTGGCTCACTGCAGCCTCCACCTCCCAGGTTCAAACCATCCTCCCACCTCAGCCTCCCAAGTAACTGGAACTACAGGGGCACACTACCATGCCTGGCTAACTTTTTGTATTTTTGGTAGAGACAGGGGTTTCGCCATGTTGCTCAGGCTGGTCTTGAAGTCCTGGGCTCAAGAAATCCTCCCACCTTGGCCTCCCAAAGTGTTGGGATTACAGGGGTGAGCCACCACGCCGGGCCAAACCTACTAATTCGTATTTCAAGAGGCAAGTGCCACAGTGTGGTGTATGGTTATGTGTACCGCGGATGAACTCACAGTCGTAGTAGGGCTGGACTGGGACAAACAAGATGCCGAGAAAGGAGAAAACCCTGGTCAGGCTGGTGTTGTTCACCCCATCACCCCAAAAGACAGACACATAAACAGGCAAACATTCTCTCTTACATATTGAGTTGCCCCAAACATCACTACTCTAATTATAAACAGATGCATGCAGATTCCTTAAAATTGGCAGGTCCCACCTCCTGGCAGTGAATCCATGCACAGAAGTATTAGAGTGGGATGGAAGACAATAGGTTAGGATTGAGGGGGAATGGTGGGAGAAGGAAGGGGGGCAGGTCCTGGCCCTGGCCCCCCTGGCCAATGCTATGAGCCCATCTCCTGCTGTGCTCAACTGGAAACAGGGAAATGGTTGTGCTGATGTTTCCATTCTCAAACTCCCCAGAGAAGGTGGATAATAAATAAGTGACAATAACAGATTGCACACTGTCAATGCGGGCACTTCTTTGCCCCCAGAGAATTGATTTTTAATAACAGCGCAGATGACATGTGGCGGGAGTTGTCGCTGACACTGGTGTTTTGTGGGCCTCAATAAATCACATTAGTCTGGAGGCTCTGAAATGGACTAGCTTGTTGGGTGCTGTCTGTGGATTGCCACTGAGTCATGGAAAGGGTCCCAGGTCCCGGGAGCCTAGATTTTGCAACCTCCTGATTGCTAGACCTTGGCCAGTTACTTCACCAGTCTGGGCCTCAGTTTCTCCACATTTAAAATGGGCAGAATTGTCTTGGCCTCACAGCAATATTGCAAAAGGTTAGACAAAGAAACTGTCCCATAAATCTGTTGATCACTATTGTAGAAATAATGATCTAGAAAGTCAGGAAGTTGATAGGTTTTGGGGCGGAGTATCTGGCATCTCTGTTTTCATGAATAGCATTCAAGGGCGATAGTCAAAGGATCAAAGGAATTCAAAGGAACGTGCTAATAAAATAGAAGCAAGGTGGGAAGGCACAAAAATCGCGTGTTAATCAGGCCCAGGGTTGGTGGGGGGCGGTGGTAAGGCGCCTTCCTGCCCTAGCAATCTATCATAATAGTAACAAATGAATATTTGTTGGGCATTTACAGTGCCAGAGCTGTGCTAAGTGCTTCATATACAGTATCTCATTTAATCCTCATAAGACCCTGTGAGGCAATTACCATAATTATCTGATTTTATGGATGAGAAAACACTCGGCTGTGTAGGAAAGGGCCAGGCAGGTGAGGAGAGTGAGCCAGGTGTGGAGGCTGCAGCCTGCACCATTCTATTTAAAGGGGCAGGGCTGCTCAGCCTTGCAGGGATGCAGAGGCAGGGCCCTGGTATGGTCAGGTCTTTCAATTTTCCACAAGAATACAGGGAGTGGGATTTGTGTAAGAAATCTCCTGATATTTAAATGTTGACAGCCTATTAAGCTTTGTGTGTGTGTGTGTGTGTGTGTGTGTGTGTGTGTGTGTGTGTGTTTAATACTTTCAGTTCTGGGTTCTGGGGTGCATATGCAGAACATGCAGGTTTGTTACCCAGGTATACATGTGCCATGGTGGTTTACTGCACCCATCAACCCGTCATCTACATTAGGTATTTCTCCTAATGCTATCCTTCCTCCAACCCAGCTTTGTGTTTTTAAAAAGACTCTATGAGCCAAGCCTGCAATTGCTAACTAATAGTTGTCTGTGATCTGGACGGGGCCCCTGGGCTTCCAGCTAGTGATCTCTGGGGTAGGAGCTGTGTTTCCACGCAGAGGTTCACTGTGCTGCATTGCCTCTCTGAGGAAACAACCATAAACAGAATGATCATCGAATCTCAGCTAGGGCCACAGACTATGCTCAATACTAGACGGTAGAATACAATTACATATCCTAATCCTCACAAGGGAGGTGCTATTGATCCCATTTTACACATAAAGAAGCAGAAAGTGGAAGGGGCCAAGTGATTTGCTCAAGGTTCCACAAGTGGTGATGGGCTGGACCCGAGAATGGCAGACTCTCAAGGGTAGCTCTCTACTCCATTGAGCAAAGAAGGGTGCTGGGTGGGAAGGTGTGTTTGGCGGTAGAGTGGGCAAAGGAGAGTGGGGAAGGGGAGTGCTTAGTCTGCTTCCTGCTGTCACTCGGCAATGTGTAAGTCAAAACCAGCATGCCAGGGTACTCACAGCACTCGCAGGGACCGCAGCCCGTTGAAGGCGTGGACAGGGATGCACCTCAGCCGGTTGTAGCTCAGGATCCTGTGAAAAGGCAGGCATGTGCCCTGTCAGCTCTTTCTATTCTCTACCATGCGGAGGTGCATTGTTCACAGTGCGAGCCAGTCAAAGCAAACGGTTTATGTTTTTAATGTTAATATATTGACAGAACTTCCTAACAATAAAGGGATGAGAAACCCCTTCACCAATCCAGAAAACATACTGGCTTTAGTTCCACAGTTTATTCAAGTTCTGTGGCAGGCTGGCTTTCTAACCAGCTTGTTCATCACCTCCCTATCCTTTCCAATGATGGCTGCTCATAATGTGCAAAGCTAATGGGAAATAATTGGGTCTAAGGAAAATACGATTATGTAGGGAAACCCTTTACTGGGAAAGAAAATTCACAAACCACAAAAGGTATTCCTAGGTAAGACAGCCTTCTTCAGAAGCAATGAGGTTGTAGTTCTTCTCTAACTGCCTGGACAGTGGAGGGCTTCCTACTTTATCTTCCTTCTGATGGTTAAAATCTATCTTATGCGAGGGTAGCCATAGGCCTGAGGGTTACCAGGGCAGAGAACCTAGTCCTGTGGGGAGGGGGGAAAGAGTGACCATCTACTGCTAGGCCCGTGGGCATGGTAAACAGCATCTCAGCGTACTCACAGAGTGGAGAGGTGAGACATGTTACTGAAGGTGTAATTGGTCAGCATGCTGATGCTGTTGTTGCTCAGGTCACTAAGAAAAGCAAAACAAAAGGGTCATACTTTTGACTTAGTTGCCATGGCAGGAGGCCATTCCCAAGTATTACACATACCTGCCATCCACCCACCCATCTACCCATCTACCCATTCCTTAATTCACTCACTCATCTATCCATCCCGCTACCAGCCTATTGATATACTCTCCCACTCACCCATTTGCTTGCCTATCTATTCATCCATCCATCCATCCCTCCATTTATCTACCCACCCACTCACCCATCTACCCCTCACATATTTATCTCACATACTCACCTGCCCACCTGCCTGCTTACCCATCCATCCACCCATCCAGCTATCCATCCGTCCACCCACCCACTCACCCACCCATCTACCCCTCACATATTATCCCACATACTCACTTGCCTGCCTATCCATCCATCCATCCATTCATCCATCCATCCATCCTTCCCTCCCTCCCTCTCTCCACCCCCCCACCTACTTATCCACTCACTCATTCATCCAAATGATCACTTTTCATTCAAACACTTATTCAATCATTCAAGCAACTGTCATTCATTTATCTATCCATTCACTTATTCAGCTAGTCAATCATTCAATTACATGTCTATTCATTCATTTCATTGTACCAAAATACAACACATATAATAACAATCTCTCATTTTAGTACTTCTTTCCCCTGATTAATTCTTTTCACTGTCTCTCTATCCCCCTTCTCTTCTGGCATTCATTCACTCCATCTTATCAGGTTCTCTCTTAGGAGGACTGAGGTTGGTGGGGGTGCAGTCCTCTGCCAACTGCAACTTCAAGCTTCCCCGCAGGGATAAACATCCAAAGCAGTGGCAATGTTAGCTGCACATTAGAATCACCCGGGGAGCTTTTAAATCCTCTGATGCCTGGTTCCATGCCCAGATATTCTGATTTAATTGATCTAGCGTGGGCTTAAGCTTAAAAAAAAAAAACTGCTCAGGTGATTCCTCTAATCAGCTGATGGTGAAGACCACCGCTTTAGAGCAGCGGTTCTCAACTGGGAGCACCTGTGTTCCCTCAGTGACATTTGGCAATGTCTGGAGACATTTCTGGTTGTGGATACTGGGGGAAGTGTTACTGGCATCTAGTGGGTAGACGCCAGCGGTGTTGTTAAACACCCTATAATATCTATGACGGCCTCCCGACAACTAAGAATTATCTAACCCCAAATGTCCATACTTTCAAGTCTGAGAAATCCTTATCTAGAGGCTGGTTTCAGGGGTTTCTAGGAATCTGTCCCACAGAAAAGGTGTTCCTCCACCTTTTCTCTATCTGCACCCATCAGATAGAGACTCCTTCTGGACAGGCAGAGGCCGAGCCTAGATCTGCCTGGACTTCCGCATCCTACACTGACCTGCTCACCTAGGATGAAGCTACCTCCTTGGAGACTCAAGTGTGGCTTAAGACAAGATAAGAAAGTCTCATTGTAATTAATTAATTATGAATTACAAAGGTTATTCCTACCTATAAATAAAAGTTAATGCTATCCTCAACTTTTTCAAGGGTAATGCTCTTTCATTTTTCAAGAACTATCATTTTCCCCTTGTAGACTGGCCTCTGGTCCTCCTAAGCAGACATAGGCATCTTTCAGTTACCACTTGCATCAGCCTGCAGCTCTGTTCTCTCTTACCATCCACATCAGTTTCCTGAGCTACCCCAGGAGGGAAAACTAAACATCCCACCCAACACTGGGCCCCTTACATAAGCGTCAGGTGTCGGAGGGCAGACAGCTCTCTGGGCACAGCTGTTAGGTGGTTTCCTTCCAGGTACCTGAAAGAGATGCAGAGTGACAACGCGTGAGGAAGAGACACTAAACAAACTGTCACCTTTTCAGAGAAGGCTCCCTGACTTTCCAGGCCGGACTAGGTTCCTTTTTCACTCTTAGAGCCTCCCTCCCCAAGTTCAGAGCATTACTATATTTGTCGTTTAGTATTTATTTGATTATCCAATTGATGACATTTGTCTCCACTGGATTTTTATATTTCATGTTGGCAGGGTTCTTGTCTAAAATTGCCCACCGTTGGATCCCCCAATGGCTGTTTACAGAGCTGATACATAGGAAGTATTCAATAAATATCAGTTTAATAAATAAAGCACTCATTTCATACTCAGCCCTCATAATATCCTCGTGTGGCAGGAAGTCACCGTAGAAGAAAAGCTACGGTGTAGAAGAAAAGATGTTAAAACACTTGCCCAAGGTCATGCAGCTGTTGGGAGAACTGAGCCATGCGTGATTAAGAACCCTAATTCAGTGTTGACTATCTCTGACATACATTTGGAAACTGAGGAAATGGGGGCCTATCTCTTGCTGGAGCCCTGTGCTACAGTTCCCAGCAAAAGGACCACATGGCAGGAGGGGACAGGGGTTCAGAGTGAGGCTGCACCCATCAGATAGAGACTCCTTCTGGACAGGCAGAGGCCGAGCCTATATCTGCCTGGACTTCCGCATCCTACACTGACCTGCTCACCTAGGATGAAGCTACCTCCTTGGAGACTCAAGTGTGGCTTAAGACAAGATAAGAAAGTCTCATTGTAATTAATTAATCATGAATTACGAAGGTTATTCCTACCTATAAATAAAAGTTAATGCTATCCTCAGAAGAGGACAGGCCAATACAGTCACTCTCACCCTTGCTGTAAACCCCTTTCTCCAGGCTTTCTGTTGCTCAGGACAAAGCTGAAGAACCTTTAAGATGGCTTACAAGACCTGCTTTGATCTCCTTGGTGATCTAAAGCTCCCATACCATCCTCTCTTGTAAGAGTCAACATACAGTCACTGCTGTTCATTTGTTAAGTGTCTGCCTTAAGCTCCATGAGGTTAGACCTAGGTCTTATCCCTTGCTAGCCTGGTGCTTCTCAAACTTCAACACACATGCAAATCACCTGGGATTTTGCTAGACCACAGATTCTGTCCCAGTAGATCTGGGGTAAGGTTGGAGAATCTGCATTTCTAACGAGCTCCTGGGTGGTGGTGGGGACTACTGGACCACATTTTGAGTAATAAGGTGCTAGCACACTGCCCGGTGTCCAGTAGACCTACCACAATATGACTGAATGGGATAGAAATGGGTTAAAACAGAATATGGGTCAAGGTGTCAGTGACTGAACCAGTCAGCTTTAAAGCCATGTTGGAATGTACATTACCTTTAATTAAGACCAAGCAACTTTCCTCCTATGGCTGGCCCCTGGGGATTCTCATGGCACAAGATGCTGGGCTGGACCTGATAAGGTCTTAGGTGGCCATGGCATATTGGACTAATGTCCTTTTGGTTTGTTCCTTGGTTGCACACCCATTACGGGCCAAGAGCTATGCGAGATCCTGGGGGAGATACACAGATGAACCAGATTCCATTTCTGTCTCAGGGAGCCTAAAATTTGGTCGTGCACATGCTTAGATTGTGCCCCAGATGGAAAAGCTAAGAGAAATGTATTCATTCATGCATGCATTAATTCAGACACAAGTATTAATTTATTGAATGATTATGATGTACCAAGTATTGTATATACTGGTGAATAAGATAGCCATAATGCTGGCTTTCAGGCAATTAAAAATCAAATGTTGGTTGCAGGTGGGGAGAGAGAGAGAGAGAGCAAACAAAATAAATATAAGTTATAAATTGCTATCTGTGCTTTCATGGGAAGGAGCAAAGAAACACCAAGGGGCTTACTGCAGAAAGATGTAGCCAAGAGGCCAAGTGCGGTGGCTCATGCCTGTAATTCCAATACTTTGGAAGGCTGAGGTTGGTGGATCACTTGAGGTCAGAAGTTTGAGACCAGCCTGGCCAACATGATGAACCACCACCTCCTAAAAAAAAAAAACAAAAACAAAACAAAACCAAAAATACAAAATTTACAGCTGGATGTGGTGGCATGTGCCTGTAACAGCTACTCAGGAGGCTGAGGCAGGAGAATTGCTTGAACCCAGGAGGCAGAGGTTGCAATGAGCTGAGATTACTCCACTGCACTCTAGCCTGGGTGACAGAGTGAGACTCTGACCCCCCCACCCCCAAAAAAAGAAAGATGCTGGCCGGTGCAGTGGCTCACTCCTGTAATCCCAGTGGTTTGGGAGGGTGAGGTGAGTGGATCACTTGAGGCCAGAAGTTCAAGACCAGCCTAGCCAACACGGCAAATCCCTATCTCTACTAAAAATACAAAAATTAGCAGGCATGGTGGCATGCCTGTGGTTTCAGCTACTAGGGAGGCTGAGGCAGGAGAATCACTTGAACCCAGAAGGCTGAGGTTACAGTGAGCTGAGATCGTGCCACTGCACTCCAGCCTGGGCAACAGAGTGAGACTGTCCCCCCCTACCCGCCACCAAAAAGGAAGATGTGGCCGAGGAGGACATATTTTAAGATGAGGATTGATAGGTGAAACGAGTGAAGACTTGGAAAGACCAGGGGAGCTGGAAGAGTCTGGCAAGAATACAACCTGTGAATGGCCTAGAGCTTGAGTTCTAAGGCAGAGAAGGAAAACTGAGGGGCTAAAGTCTCGTGGGGCAGGAAAAGACAATGAGAGACAGGGCGGATCACGCTGAGGCCTTGGAGGTTATTTTACTCAAAGCAGAATGAGAGGCCATGATGAGACAAGGGCAGAGGCTGGTGTTACAGAGCTTCCTCACCTGTACTCACCTCTGCCCTCCTTGCATGAGACTGCAGGGTATTTGCATTCTGGGTGGAGGCTTGCCCTATCCCTAAACTGGGGCAGGGGCTCAGCTGGTGGTGGGAAGGAGCAGACACAGGGAGGGGGTACTTGTCCAGCTTGTTCCTTTGGGCAGGGAGGCTCTGTGCAGGATGATGGAGGGAAGGACAAACTGTTGGGCCACCACTCACACACCTGCAGGAAGTGTTCTGTGGACAGTGTGGCTCTGGGAAGTGTGGAGGCAGGAGCTGGAGGAATGAGCAGGACAGCAGAGAGGTGCTGGTCCAGGGAGCATCTCACCTCCAGGGAGACCCGAGGGAGTTTCTGGGAAGGGCTTTGACCTGAGACTGACACTGGCTTTCCACTTTCTATCCTGCCCATTCTATTCATTCTCTTACTACCGTTTATTTTCTACAACTACTTAGTAAGCTTCAGACATCAAAGATGAAAACCAGAACAAAGCATCCAAGCCCTTTGCCAGAATCTCTTGTGGCCTTGTGACAAACACACCTGGAAGTGGGCCTGTGGGTTGGGCTTGCCACACACCTTGAGGCAAGTTACTGAACCTCACAGACAACGCAATGACAAGACAATACTCAAAGCACCCCAACAAAACTCACCAGCATGACATGAGGGGTCATCCCAATGCTTTTGCACTGAGAAACTCTGGTCTGTTACCTCATTTAATCCTCTGGGGCTGGAGCGGGGACATTTTGCTGAGGCTCAGAGAGGTAAATAGCAAGTCTAGGTGTCAGACTTAGACTAAGATACGTTGGACTCTGGAGGTTGAGAAGTCACCCTGTGCTGTTTCACCTCTCCACTCTGAGCTCCTTATTTTCACCTTCCACTATCACACTCCTGAGAGGATGTGCTATACTGTATTATTTATTTTCTTTTTCAACCCAGCTGGAATGTAAGCTCCACGAGGGCAGGGATTTCTGATAGTTTTATTTCCTGCTGTATCTTTAGTACACAGTATAGTGCTCAGCTCATAGTAGGGGCTCCATGATTTGTTGGATGAATGCATGAATGCAGAGAAGGGCTGTTTATAGAACCCTGCACTAAAAAAACAAACTGGCAGTGTGTAGTGGCTCACGTTTGTAATCCCAACACTTTGGGAGGCTGAAGTGGGCAGATTGCTTGAGTTCAGGAGTTCAAGACCACCCTGTGCAACATGGTGAGACCCTGTGTCTACAAAAAAAAAATACAAAATAATAGCCAGGCATGATGGTGTGTACCTGTGGTCTCAGATACTTAGGAGGCTGAGGTGGGAGGCGGTTGCAGAGAGCCAAGATCATGCCACTGCACTCCAGCCTGGGTGACAGAGTGAAAACCTGTCTCAAAAAACAAACAAAACCCAGAAACCTATAATGGTCTCAAGGAATGCCCTGTGTCTGGCCGAGGCATATCTGTAGGACAAGCTGTGCCATATAAATGTATGCATTTGTTGAAATGTTGAATGAAAGCATAAGTAATCACTAGAATTAAGTCACTGAGGATGTGATTATAGAGACTGCCGACCCTATGCCAAAGCTCAGGTGCAGTGGCTCATGCTTGTAATTCTAGCACGTTGGGAGGATGGTGGGACGATTGCTTGAGCCCAGGAATTTCAGACCAGCCTGCACAACAAAGTGAGACTCCATCTTTACAAAACATAAAAATAATAAAAAGTTAGCTGGGCAAGGTACCATGTGCCTGTGGTCCCAGCTACTAGGGAGGTTGAGGTGGGATGATTGCTTGAGCCTAGATGGTCAAGGCTGAAGTGAGCTGTGATCACACCACTGCACTTCAGCTTGAGTGACAGAGTTAGACCCTGTCACACACACACAGACAAAGCCAAGTGGAAATTCTGAAACTAAAAAATTAATGGAAGGAAATATAAAATACATTATAAAATATCAGTAACAGACTAGAACAAGCAGAAGAAAGAATCTCAGAACTTGAAGACAGGTCTTTTGAAATAATCCACTCAGACAAAAATAAGGAAGAAAGAATAAAAAGAATGAACAAAGGCTTTGAGATGTGTAGGAGTGCATAAAGTGACCAAACTTATGAAGTGTTGATATTACCAAGGGGGAAAAGAGATCAAAAAGTTTAAAAAATATATTTGAGAAAGTAATTGATGAAAATTTCCCAAGTCTATCAAGAGAGTTAGACATCTATTTATAGGAGGTCCAGAAATCCTCAAGCAAATACATTGCAAAAAGGATATCACTATAGCATATTATATTCAGAATGTTTAATATAAAAGTGAAATAAAGGATTTCAAAATGAGCAAGAGAAAAGCCTGGAATCATATACAAAGGAAACCCCTTGGACTAACAGAAGACTTTTCACAGAAACTTTACAGGTCAGAAGAAAATGGGTTGGCATTTTCAAAGTGCTGAAATAAAAAACAAAACAAAACCGTCAACCAAGAATTTTGTATTCTGCCAAAATAAGCATTTTTTTCCAGTCTCCATAGGGACTGTCAAAAATTGCCAGTGCTGACTATATTGCAAGTTGTCACGGTGGGGTATTGGGAAAAGGTTTCAATTAGCAATAATCATGCCTTGGATAAACCTCATTGGCTATGACACTGCCACGGTGCAAAGCTAAAATAAGATTTATAAATTAAGGATAAAGTCCTTCCCTGACAAGCAAATACTAAGGGAATTTGCTATCACTAGAGCAACCATACAGGAAATGTTCAATGAGGTCTTAAACATGAAAATGAAAGGTTGATATTCACTATCACAAAAAAACATGAAAATATAAAACTCACAGTTCATATAAAACAATTATACAAAGGTAGAAGAAAAAGGAATCAAATGGCAACAACACAGAATTTCAACAAACCACAAAGACAGAAAAAAAAAAGAAACAAAGAATTTATAAAACAACTTGAAAATAATCAACAGTATGACAGGAACAAAGTCTCACATATCAATGAATACTAACCCTGAATATAGTGGATTAAATGCTTCACTTAAAAGATATCAATTGTCAGAATGGATAAAGAAACATGATCCAACTACATGCTGCTAACAAGAAACTTACCCTGCCCATAAAGACACAAACAGTATGAAAGTAAAGGGCTAGAGAAAGATATTTCATATAAACAGAAACCAAAAGTGAGCAGGAGTAGCTATACCTGTATTAGATAAAAAAGACATATCAGATAAAACAGTAAAAGAAAACAAAGAAGGTCATTATATAATGACAAAGGAACAATTCAACAAGAGGATGTAATAATCCTCAATATATACACGCCCAACATTGAAGAACTCAGATTTGCAAAATAAATAATTCTGGACTTAATGAAAGAAACAGACAACTATACAATAATAGCAGGGTCTTTGACACCCCACCAATAGCACCAGACAGATCATTGAGACAGGAAATTAACAAAGAAACACCTGACTGAAATTAGACTTTAGGGTAAATGAACTTAATAGACATTTACAGAAATTATACCCAACAACTACACAATATACATTCTTTTCACCATCATATGGAACAGTCTCCAAGACAGACCACAAGTTAGGCCACAAAACAAGCCTTAACACATTAAAAAACTGAAATTATATCAAGTATTTCCTCAGATCACAGTGGAATAAGGCTAGAAATCAATACCAAGAGAAACTTTTGAAACTATCCAAATACATGGAAGTTTAAACAGCATGCTCTTGGACAACCAGTGGGTCAAAAAACAAATTAAAATGAAAATTAAAACAATTAAATGAATGAAAATGAAAACACAATATATCCAAACCTATGGGATACCGCAAAAGCAGGTATAAGAGGGAACTTAATAGCACTGAATGCCTACATCAAAAGGTAGAAAGATCACAAATCAAGAACCTAATGTAACACCTCAAGAAACTAGAAAAAGAAGAACAAACCAAACGCAAAATTAGGAGAACAAAAGAAATAACAAAGACTATGGTAAGACTTAGGATTCTAGTATAAAAAACAAGAGAGAAAAGAAGTAACAAAAATCGAAGCAGAACTAAATGAAATGGGGACCAAAAGAACAATATAAAAGATTAACAAAAGAAAAAGTTGGTTCTTCAAAAAGATAAACAAAATTGATAAATCACTAGCTTAATTAAGAAAAGAAGATGGAATATCCAAGTAAATAAAATCAGAAATGAAATCAAAGACATTACAACCATATTTCAGAAATACAAAAGATCACCAGACTATTATGAACAACTATACACTCACAAACTAGAATATCTAGAGGAAATGGATAAATTCCTGGAAGCACACAACCTCCTGAAATTGAACCAGGAATAAGTAGACCTTCTGAACAGTAGACCCCTAATAAGTAGTGACACTGAATCAGTAATACAAAATATACCCCCCAACAACAGCCTCCAAAAAGCCCAGGTCTATAAATCCAAAGATGGATTCATAGCTGAATTCTAACAAACACACACAAAACTAATACTAATCCTCCTGAAACTATTTTAAAAAATTGAGGAGGAGGTAATTCTCCCTTACTCATTCTATGAGGTCACTATCACCCTAATAACAAAATCAGACAAGGACAGAATAAAAAAAGACAACTAAAGGCTAATATCCAGAATGAACATAGACATAAAAATCCCCAAGAAAATACCAGCAAATTGAATCCAACAGAACATCAAAAAGATGATAGACCATGATCAGGTAGGATTTATTTCAGGAATGAAAGGACACTTCAACATATGCAAATCAATAAATGTGATACATCACAAACAGAAATAAGGACAAAAACCATATGACCATCTCAATAGATGCAGAAAAAGCATCTGATAAAATTCAGCATCTCTTCATAATAAAATTTAGCAAACTAGGCATACAAAGGACATACCTCAAAATAATAAAGGCTATATACAACAGACCCACAGCCAACATCAACCTTAATGGAGAAAAGTTGAAAGGATTCCCTCTAAGAATTAGAATAAGACAATAACAACCACTTTGACTACACTTATTCAACATAGTATTGGACATCCTCACCAGAGCAATCAGCAAAGAGAAACAAAATAAAAAGCATCCAGAGAGAAGATCCAAGATGGCCCTTTAGGAGCAGCTCAGGATTGTGGTTCCCAGTGAAAGTGCAGAGGATGAGTGGACGCCGCATTTCCAGATGGATCTTTATTGCCCACAGACCAGGAGATTCCCAGGTGGAGGAGCCCCACGAGTCACCAGAGCAGCTGTTTTGGCCAGCATGGCTATTTCGGCTGGTGTGGCTGTTTTGCTGGCGCCCCAGTGCGGTGGTTCTCTGTGCAAAATACACTGGTCTGGTTGCCCTTTTAAGCTGGGAATTGGAGCTCCAAGAAGGCAGATTCGCCCATTCATCTGATTAAACAGGGAGCCAGGCCAGGAGATTCACAGGCAGTGCCATTGTTTCAGCTGGCGCAATGGGTTGCCACATGGGAAATCACACAGATCCTGGCACCCTTTCAGCAGGCGACTGGAATACTTGAGAGAAAGTCAACCATTCAACTTAAAAAAAAAAAAGGCTCTGAGGCAGGGAGCCAGGTCATCAGGCTCGGCAGGTCCCACCCCGACAAAAACAAAAGCAAAAAAACCAGCAATTGGAAACGCTTGGAGTTGAGAGTTTCACGGCAAGCACAGCTGAACCCTGGACAGCCTAGCTCTGTGGGGGAGGGGCGTCCGCCATTACCAAGGCACTCCACCCCTACAGAGGTAGTCCGCCATTGTTGAGGCAGCCTGCCATTGCTGAGGCAACCTGCCATAACAGAGAGAGTCCACCATTAAAGAGGCAGGCCACCATTGCCGAGGCAGTTCTAACCACACCCATATAAACAGGACTGCAGGGAAGTTCACACGACAGCAGGGCAGAGCCCACAGCAGCTCAGCAAAGCCTCTGCAGGCAGACAGTGACTAGGCTGCCTCCTTGCTGGGCAGGACAGCCCTGAAAAAAAAAAGGCAGCAGCACAATGGATACTCATAAATAAAGCCCTAACGCCCCAGGACAGAGTACCTGGGGAAAAAAAAAGGGGGGTTTATGAGTTCTGCTGCAGCAGACTTAAATGTACCTGCCTAGCAGCTCTGAATGAACAATGGAGCTCACAGCTCAGCACTTGACCTCCTATAAAGAACAGACTGTCTCCTCAAGCAGCACCCTGACCCCCGTATATCCAAAGAGTCACCTCACAAAGGACTGATAAGACTGACATTTGGCGGGCATCATTCTGGGACAAAGAGAGCAGAAGAAGAAACTGGTAGCAACCCTTACTGTTCTGCAGCTGCTGCAGGTGTTCCCCAGGCAAGCAGGGCCTGGAGTGGACCTCAGCATTCCTACAGCAGAGGGGCCAGACAGTTAGAAAGGAAACTAAGAAACAGAAATAACTTCATCATCAACAATCTGGATGTCCACTCAGGGACCCAATCTGAAAATCAGCAACTACACAGATGACAGGTGGATAAATCCACAAAGATGGGAAGAAACCAGTGCAAAAAGGAGGAAAACACCCAAAACCAGAACACCTCTCCTCCTACAAGGGATCACAACTCCTCACCAGCAAGGGAACAAAGTTGGATGGAGAATGAGTGTGATGAAATGACAGAATCAGACTTCAAAAGGTGAGTAATGAGAAACTTCTGTGAGCTAAAAGAACAAGTTCTAACTCAATGCAAAGAAACGAAGAACCTTGAAAAAAGATTTGACGAAATGATAACAAGAATGAACAACTTGGAGAGGAATATGAGTGAATTGATGGAGCTGAAAAACACAACATGAGAACTTCGCGAAGCATGCACAAGTTTCAACAGCCGAATTGACCAAGCAGAAGAAAGGATATCAGAGGTCGAAGATCAACTCAATGAAATAAAATGAGAAGGCAAGATTAGAGAAAAAAGTGCAAAAAGGAATGAACAAAGTCTCCAAGAAATGTGGGACTATGTGAAGAGACCTAATATACGTTTGATAGGTGTACCTGAATGTGATGAAGAGAATGAATCCAAGCTGGAAAATACTCTTCAGGATATTATCCAGGAAAACTTTCTCCACCTAGCAAGCCAGGCCAATATTCAAGTCCAGGAAATACAGAGAACACCACAAAAATATTACTCAAGAAGAGCAACCCCAAGGCACATAATCGTCAGATTCACCAGGGTTGAAATGAAGGAGAAAATGCTAAGGGCAGCCAGAGAGAAAGGTCGGGTTACCCACAAAGGGAAGCCCATCAGACTCACAGCAGATCTCTCGGCAGAAACCTTACAAGCCAGAAGAGAGTGGGGGCCAATATTCAACATCCTTAAAGAAAAGAACGTTCAACCCAGAATTTCATATCCAGCCAAATTAAGCTTCATAAGTGAAGAAAAAATTAAATCCTTTGTGAACAAGCAAGTACTCAGAGATTTTGTCACCACCAGGCCTGCTTTACAAGAGCTCCTGAAAGAGGCACTACACATAGAAAGGAACAACTGGTACCAGCCACTCCAAAAACATACCAAATGGTAAAGAGCATCAACAAAATGAAGAATCTGCATCAACTAACAGGCAAAACAGCCAGCTAGCATCAAAATGGCAGTATCAAATTCACACATAACAATATTAACCCTAAATGGAAATGGGCTAAATGCACCAATCAAAAG